GGTGAATACAACTAGGTGAATACAACTAGGTGAACACAACTAGGTGAACACAATTAGGTGAATACAACTAGGTGAATACAACTAGATGAATACAACTAGGTGAATACAACTAGATGAATACAACTAGGTGAATACAACTAGATGAACACAACTAGGTGAATACAACTAGGTGAATACAACTAGGTGAACACAACTAGGTGAATACAACTAGATGAATACAACTAGGTGAATACAACTAGATGAACACAACTAGGTGAATACAACTAGATGAACACAACTAGGTGAATACAACTAGATGAATACAACTAGGTGAATACAACTAGATGAATACAACTAGGTGAATACAACTAGGTGAATACAACTAGATGAATACAACTAGGTGAATACAACTAGGTGAATACAACTAGGTGAATACAACTAGATGAACACAACTAGGTGAATACAACTAGGTGAATACAACTAGGTGAACACAACTAGGTGAATACAACTAGATGAATACAACTAGGTGAATACAACTAGGTGAATACAACTAGATGAATACAACTAGATGAACACAACTAGGTGAATACAACTAGATGAATACAACTAGGTGAATACAACTAGATGAATACAACTAGGTGAACACAACTAGGTGAATACAACTAGATGAATACAACTAGGTGAATACAACTAGGTGAACACAACTAGATGAATACAACTAGATGAATACAACTAGATGAATACAACTAGGTGAATACAACTAGATGAATACAACTAGGTGAATACAACTAGGTGAATACAACTAGATGAATACAACTAGATGAATACAACTCGATGAATACAACTAGGTGAATACAATTAGATGAATACAACTAGATGAATACAACTAGATGAATACAACTAGATGAATACAACTAGATGAATACAACTAGGTGAATACAACTAGGTGAATACAACTATACATAACCCTTATAATACAACTATACAGCATATAACCCTCATATACAGCATATAACCCTCATATACAGCATATAACCCTCATATACAGCATATAACCCTCATATACAGCATATAACCCTCATATACAGCATATAACCCTCATATACAGCATATAACCCTCATATACAGCATATAACCCTCATATACAGCATATAACCCTCATATACAGCATATAACCCTCATATACAGCATATAACCCTCATATACAGCATATAACCCTCATATACAACATATAACCCTCATATACAGCATATAACCCTCATATACAGCATATAAGTTAATAATGTACTTCCTAACAAGGGGGGGGGGAGGTAGAGTAATTTATCTACCTTATAAAGCGTCTTGGGAAGTCTCCGCTGGATCTTAGTGGTTCCTCAGGTCTCCATGCTGCGTCTTCTCCTCCTTCTGAGACGTAGAAAACGGGCCGCGGGTTGTCTTAAGACAATCTTGGAGCTTCTAGGGATCTTCTCTCATCGTCTAGCTCCTCGCTGGGCGTCTTAGGAAGTCGAGGAGACGCTCTGATTCATTGATACTCAAGAACTGTTTGAGATTTCCTGTGTTGAAGGTTTATTCTGCTCTAGAATTGGGGGAGCGCAGGTCAACACGTCTACTCGGCTTCGCCCTCTGGGCGCGACTGACGGTAGATTTGGCGCCATTACCCCAGGGCGCCTGACGTCACGCCCGGGGCGTGACGTGATTGGTCTACCCGCTGGCTGAGCTCCCGCCGCTGACCAATCACGCGCCACCTGGCTCTCTACCCACAATGCTCTGGGAGTTCTCCTTGAGCGGGAAAAAATATATATATTATTCCCTCCTGAAGCACATCATTTTAATGATGGAGCCGCTGCCAAGCCTCAAAGTAGAGCTTAAAACATAAATTGCTTTTCGTTGTGGCATCTTTCCTCCTCTAGAGAGTTGTAAAACCAAACTAGGACTCCTGGGTATTTACAACGCCAGGAACATGGCTCTTGCAGCTGGGAGAGAATACTAGCTGGACACTGTAACTTTATACAGTGAGGAACGAGGGAATGTTACGTGTATTAGAGCAAGATATCTATACACAGGGACGATGGTATGTTTCGTGTATTAGAGCAAGATATCTATACACAGACACGATGGCATGTTTCGTGTATTAGAGCAAGAGATCTATACACAGACACGATGGTATGTTTCGTGTATTAGAGCAAGATATCTATACACAGGGACGATGGTATGTTTCGTGTATTAGAGCAAGATATCTATACACAGACACGATGGTATGTTGCGTGTATTAGAGCAAGATATCTATACACAGACACGATGGTATGTTGCGTGTATTAGAGCAAGATATCTATACACAGACACGATGGCATGTTTCGTGTATTAGAGCAAGATATCTATACACAGACACGATGGCATGTTTCGTGTATTAGAGCAAGATATCTATACACAGACACGATGGCATGTTCCGTGTATTAGAGCAAGATATCTATACACAGACACGATGGCATGTTCCGTGTATTAGAGCAAGATATCTATACACAGACACGATGGCATGTTTCGTGTATTAGAGCAAGATATCTATACACAGACACGATGGCATGTTCCGTGTATTAGAGCAAGATATCTATACACAGACATGATGGCATGTTCCGTGTATTAGAGCAAGATATCTATACACAGACACGATGGTATGTTCCGTGTATTAGAGCAAGGCAGAGCTTGTTGTGGTAATGTGACCTACCCAGCAGCAATACAACATGTCCAGTGAAGATTAAAACTTGTCTCTGGCTGGACGTTAATTTATTATCCGGACAGGAGCTGTCAGTCTGCCCTCGAACACATGAAACTGATGTAGGCTGTGTCCACATTTTGTCTGCCTAGGCTGTGTCCACATTTTGTCTGCCTAGGCTGTGTCCACATTTTGTCTGCCTAGGCTGTGTCCACATTTTGTCTGCCTAGGCTGTGTCCACATTTTGTCTGCCTAGGCTGTGTCCACATTTTGTCTGCCTAGGCTGTGTCCGCATTTTGTCTGCCTAGGCTGTGTCCACATTTTGTCTGCCTAGGCTGTGTCCGCATTTTGTCTGCCTAGGCTGTGTCCACATTTTGTCTGCCTAGGCTGTGTCCACATTTTGTCTGCCTAGGCTGTGTCCACATTTTGTCTGCCTAGGCTGTGTCCACATTTTGTCTGCCTAGGCTGTGTCCGCATTTTGTCTGCCTAGGCTGTGTCCACATTTTGTCTGCCTAGGCTGTGTCCACATTTTGTCTGCCTAGGCTGTCTGCCACCGGGGGAGATAGTCTGCTCTCTCATGATCATGTCTGAAATGGGGGTTAGAAATAGCGTAAGCTACTCTATCCCTTTGAGATGAATTTCTTTCTTGTCTCAATAAACATACTTGAACTTCAATGTCTGAAACAACTCTTCATTCACATCTACTCATAGAAACCGGTATGTAGCCTAATTTTAAGGCTAGTCATATTTGTATTATGTTCATACAATTTTCTGCGTAGGGTCAGAACATAATTAAATGCAAGTTGCAGGTAGTTCACCTTAGGATTAAGTGATCATTGCAGTGCTGTTGTAGCTTTCCAATAAAGTGTTTTTCTATGTGTATATGACTTCGTGAACTGGAAATTATCAGTTGTATTAATACAATAAAACTTTATTGTTGTGGCTCTTGCTGGATTAGGCTATTAGTTATCTGAGCGATATAATTACTTATTTTATATGGCAACTACTTATTATATTTGGCTGTATTACATTCTATTATATAAAGATGTGGTACATAATAGCCAGGACACAACTAATTAGCCTAGTATACAAGGGCCCATTAGCCTAGCAGAGTGATTTTCGTTATTTTCAAATTGGTTTATTCAAATTAACATTATTATATTGAGAACATGAGTTACTTAGTGATGTTAGGTTAGGTAGGCTAGGTTTAATCAAATTTCTACTTTAGCTTTAACTTAAATTAAAAAAATAAATATATAATGAATAGCTTTATCATTCTACTAGAAAAAAATTAAAAATATAAAATTTCGGGGAAACTCTGCTTGTTAGGCAACTTATCCAATTAGGTACAACAAAAACATTAATTGCATTAATTGTTATTCGAGAAAATATCAACCTTGAACACCAATTACAATAACAAATGCATCTTTTGAGTTGGCTTCAGCTTCAACAGTTTTTGAACAGTGCTTCGCTAACGACCTCTGTTCGAACCACAGCCCTATAAATGCTTCACCCACATACTACAAATACAAATAATCGCCAACAGAACCTAATCACCATGCTAACCTACGCCTAACTATATTTAGAAGTTAGTTGTGTAATGATACTAATCTAAAAACAGGTTTGTTTTCATATATAGAACACAGGTTAAAATGTATTCTTGTGATTTGGGGAACGGTCGCTCCTCTAACGAGCCTGGGGCCAGATTCACGAAAGCACTTACGAACCTGTACATCTTTTCTCAATCTTTGGCGGCTTTGTTTACAATTATTAAACAGTTAATGAGCTCCGAAGCACCAGGAGGCTGTTTATAACAATAACAACAGTTGATTGGCAAGTTTTCATGCTTGTAAACTGTTTAATAAATGTAACCAAAGCCGTCAAAGATTGAGGAAAGATGTACACGTTCGTAAGTGCTTTCGTGAATCTGGCCCCTGGTCTGAGGACAGGCTGTGTTGAACAAGGGGCTGAACTTTGCAAGAAAACTTGAAAGACAACGAGGTTTGCATTACCAGGTTAGCGGCTTATCAGTCTTTACACAATGAGTTGCTTTCCTTAACTGACTCTCAGAAGCACGGCTCGAAGCCTCATCTGGGCGGCCCATGTGGAGTCATTGTGGTTCGTCACACTACTGATGGTAATTTATATCATGATGTTAGTAAAGCTTGTGTTTATTCCTGATAAGAGCCATCGCCTCATTATACTCTTGCGGGATTAATGGCATTATCTAATTGTTACAATTATATATATACGCAAGCGCGTGTACAAGTGGTGTGTGTAAACAGAGGACTTCCTGCCAGACGTGACCTACCTGACGGAACATGTTGGGCTCATCCTGGCATCAGCTGGCCCTCTGGGCATCACGTCAGCGCCTCTGAAGCACAAGTCCAGCCTGGCATCGCCTCACCTCTACACCGCTTTCACTCACTTCTCGAAATTACACTTTTTGGGGAGTCAAGAATTCACACTCTTGCGATAATTTCGTATCACTCTATGTCTTCACTGTTGGTAGTGGGTTATATTATATATATATATGTGTGTGTATATAATGTATATACACACGTAGTTGTACTTGCGGGGGTTGAGCCTTGGCTCTTTGGTCCCGCCTCTCAAGTGGGAATTAACTGGTGTGTGTGTGTGTGTGTGTGTGTGTGTGTGTGTGTGTGTGTGTGTGTGTGTGTGTGTGTGTGTGTGTGTGTGTGTGTGTGTGTGTGTGTGTGTGTGTGTGTGCGTGCATGTGTGTGTGTGTGTGTGCGTGTGCGTGCATGTGAGAGTGCAAGTCAGCGTCCCCCAAGCCTCGTACCGCCAGCCCGGACCACCACCAGTATCTGGTCGCGCCGCACTACTGAAGGTAGACTGAGCCAGTTCCCGCCTCTGCTGCTGTTGCTGCTGCCTGCTGCTGCCAGGACTGCTGGGAGGCGGCACTACACGCCCACCACGCGCAGTGTCTGCACGCCTACTAGCCCACCCCCGCCCACTATTCTCCATCCTCTGACCCACTATACGCCCAGCTTGCATCCTAAGACCCACCAAGCCAACGTTTCTCTAGCCTCATCCATGGACGCTACCTTCTCTACCCTCGCCAACAATCTTAGCAATTTCAAATCATTCTACATCAAGGAATTCTGGGCTACAAAATCATCAAAATCTCTAAAGTACATTGAGCAAAATACAGACAGTTTGGCTGTAATGTGTTTGAAAAGCGTTATGTTCCTTGCTCTATATACTAACCTGAAAGTTCTATAAACTCTGTGAATCATTATTCTTGTCTTCTTGAATTTACCTGAGTTTACCTGAGAGGCATTAACACTAGTGGCCACGACAAGGACAGGAAGCCGGCGGTTTGTCTAAGGTCCCCCTATTTGCAGTGATCTTTGCCAGCTGTAGTTTAAATGTTAACAAAGTTTTGGCATTTATGGCGTCGGCGGGTAGGCGTTTCCACGGGTTTATAACTCTGGGTGAAAAAGTATTTCCTGTCCTACATTGTGGCTTGTTGAACTTGACACTGTTTCTCCTTCTTTGTGTTACAGCTGACCTGAATACATTGTCGGACTCAGCATCCGCCGGATGTCTTCTTTAATAGTTGGGTGACGCTCTGGCCTCAGGTGTCTTGTAGCCGGCTGTAGACAGACATAATTGTTTACAAATGTAAATGAATATAAGTGTAAGTGATGCGGCTCCCGGTGTGTGGTGCTGGCTATAGCCTAGTGCGTTACTTCAAGGAATTATTTGTTTTCGGTTGGGCAGATGGCTGAGTAATGAACTTCCCAAAGTTAGTTTTACACTTTTAATGGGCCTGCCGTGTGCCGTGGGTCGTTAAATAACGTGTTTTGCTAAAGTACATCTTAGCATCTTCGGAGGACAGAGAGGAACAAAACTCAAATGGTCAAACTCATGAGTGAAAAACTCACTTTTATACTCAAACTTTTACGACATAATAAAATATTTTGTTACACAATATGCCACTTTTTGTCATTGAAAAGTTTATGAGATCTATGAAGCATAAAGAAATTTTCTTATTTACATCTCCAAGCAAATATGGCGATCAAATATCTTTAGCCTAGCAAAGCTCTGTCGACAATTTTCGAAGACGAACACAGTACACAACAAGGTCGTTGTTTCGCTTCCTGCAGGTCGGCGTTCAATCCCCCGAGACCGTCCACAAGTGGTTGGGGCACCATTCCTTTCCCCCCGTCCCATCCCAAATCCTTATCTTGTGATTGATCGATAAAGATTAAGCCACCCAAGAGGTGGCACGGGCATGAATAGCCCGTAAACCTTATCATGTTCCATTCCAAGTGCTATATAGTCGTAATGGCTTGGCGCTTTGAGTGATAGTTTCTGCTGCCTCAGAATTACAGAATTGCCTGACATCTTACTCGATCTGACTTTCTGAAGTGACATCGCGCGCTTCTGTACTACCTTGGATGTCAGCTGAGGTCTCTAGGGTGACATTCTGGGTGTAGGTGAGGACTTGGACGCTCTGGTCGCCATCTTGGGGGACATCATTGGTGACATTTCCCGCCTGTTTGTTGGCGTTGTTCCCGCGAGTCTGGTGGCGACGGAGAGACCTTATCAACACTCTCACTGTGGACCGCTCATCCAGGATCTGCAGAGATGGTAAACCTTGCTGTTAGTTCAGAATATATTTTTACTTGCTTATATCTAGGTGGGTACTCACTCAGTCACTCTCTTTCTGTCTCTCTCTGTTTCTCTCTCTCTCTCTCTCTCTCTCTCTCTCTCTCTCTCTCTCTCTCTCTCTCTCAAACGTACACACAAACGTTAAAGGAAAGCCTTAAAGTATCGCTAAATACCGTATATCAGAAGGCAGCACTTTGCTTCTGCTCCTGGGAGGGACTGACGCCACTTTGTCTCAAGTCCAGTCTGTCTCTGGCCTCTGATCCTAACAGCTCACACCTAAATCAGGTTAACTAACCTGTTTTGTATCTCTTAACCTTACCTTTAACTTCAAACACAATCAACAAGTACTTTGAAGCCCCTTTCAGAGCAGTGAGACACTTACCACCTGAACAAATCCACAAGAGCCGTGATGAGGATTCGAACTTACGTTCGAGAGAATCCCAAACGCTGCCTTAATCAACAAATCCACAAGGACCATGACGAGGATTCGAACCTGCATCCAAGAACATCCCAGACATTGCCTTAATCGACTGAGCTACGACCCGCCTTAATTTTAAATAAGGCGCCTTGTGGATTTGTTCATTTGATGCATCAGGCTGTTGTGATGGCTGTGAGTAACTTACCGCCTGTCTGTTTTTAGTGTTAGAGAGGACTAGGATCAGTATAAACACGCCCTGCAGGCCGCTCACCACAGTCTGCACCTTGGCCCTGTTGATGAGACATGTTCCTCACTGTATGGCTCATTCACAGCTGTATGATGTGTGCGATAATACACATGGATAACTCAGTCATGTTTACTCAATATGTGTCTGACTTTTCTTCATTCTACATTCAGTACACAACTCCTTATGGACTATGCATATGCTTATTCACTATACTGTTCATTTGCTAATTCTCTATATGGCAGTTTGTTCATATATTTTCAAATTCACAATATTCTGTAAAGATATATAGGAAGAAAAGATAACAGGAGACTCTATTATCGGTGCCAAAAAGGTTATCTTCCTGGAACATTAAGTTGTTATCTCTGGCACGACAATACATTATATATCAGAACAGAGCATCGGAAGGTCCTCTCCCTACACTGTCCTCTCCCTACACTGTCCTCTCCTTACACTGTCCTCTCCTTACACTGTCCTCTCCCTACACTGTCCTCTCCCTACACTGTCCTCTCCTTACACTGTCCTCTCCTTACACTGTCCTCTCCTTACACTGTCCTCTCCTTACACTGTCCTCTCCTTACACTGTCCTCTCCTTACACTGTCCTCTCCCTACACTGTCCTCTCCTTACACTGTCCTCTCCTTACACTGTCCTCTCCCTACACTGTCCTCTCCCTACACTGTCCTCTCCTTACACTGTCCTCTCCCTACACTGTCCTCTCCCTGCACTGTCCTCTCCTTACACTGTCCTCTCCTTACACTGTCCTCTCCCTACACTGTCCTCTCCCTGCACTGTCCTCTCCTTACACTGTCCTCTCCTTACACTGTCCTCTCCCTACACTGTCCTCTCCCTACACTGTCCTCTCCTCACACTGTCCTCTCCCTACACTGTCCTCTCCTCACACTGTCCTCTCCTTACACTGTCCTCTCCCTACACTGTCCTCTCCTTACACTGTCCTCTCCTCACACTGTCCTCTCCTTGTTGTGGTTTAAGATTCAGCTACTGGGAACAAAATGTTCCAAGTAGCACGGGCTATGGCGAGCCCGTAGTGGCCTTACCTGGCACAGGAGCGGGGCTGTCGACCCGGTGGTCAACCCGCACCATCTTGTTCGGTGGTGGCCAGAGGCCAGATTCACGAAGCAGTTACACAAGCACTTACGAACCTGGGGCCAGATTCACTTAGCAGTTACGCAAGCACTTACGAACCTGGGGCCAGATTCACGAAGCAGTTACGCAAGCACCTACGAACCTGGGGCCAGTCACGAAGCAGTTACACAAGCACTTACGAACCTGGGGCCAGATTCACCAAGCAGTTACGCAAGCACTTACGAACCTGTCCATCTTTTCTCAATCTTTGGCGGCTTTGTTTACAATTATTAAACAGTTAATGAGCTCCGAAGCACCAGGAGGCTGTTTATAACAATAACAACAGTTGATTGGCAAGTTTTCATGCTTGTAAACTGTTTAATAAATGTAACCAAAGCCGTCACAGATTGAGGAAAGATGAACACGTTCGTAAGTACTTGCGTAACTGCTTCGTGAATCTGGCCCCAGGTTCGTAAGTGCTTGCGTAACTGCTTCGTGAAACTGGCCCCAGGTTCGTAAGTGCTTGCGTAACTGCTTTCCTGAATCTGGCCCAGGTTCGTTAGTGCTTGCGTAACTGCTTTCCTGAATCTGGCCCAGGTTCGTAAGTGCTTGCGTAACTGCTTGGTGAATCTGGCCCCAGGTTCGTAAGTGCTTGCGTAACTGCTTCGTGAAACTGGCCCCAGGTTCGTAAGTGCTTGCGTAACTGCTTCGTGAAACTGGCCCCAGGTTCGTAAGTGCTTGCGTAACTGCTTCGTGAATCTAGCCCCAGGTTTGTAAGTACTTGCGTAACTGCTTCGTGAATCTGGGGCCAGGTGTCCTAGCGTCCGGTTGGACTCAGGTCTCTCGGGTGATAACGTCGACACCGACCACCTGTCACCACAAGCTTTGCACTCTCAACACAACACACAGAGTTGCAGTAGTTTAGTAGTAATGGTTCAGTAGACCATTCTCAATCGACTTGAGAATGGTCCAGGACGGACCGAAACGTCGTCGTCCCTTCACCTTCTAGTGTGTGGTCTGGTCAACAGTAGTTTAGTGCAATTAAAAGACTTGCAATACTGCAACCCGTTCTCGCACTTTCGTATAGTCAATATAGACTTATTAAATACGTGAATATGTGACATACTAAACATACTAGTTTACCTTGAAAAGCTTCATTGAAAAAAACCGCGATCACCTAACCTTCTTAGTATGTTAAGATAAGCATCTTATTGCTTCGTAATTACAATTGTTACTTAACCTATTATAGGTATTGGGTTGCATAGGTCCGCCATGAACATGGAGGAGCAGGGACCCATCGTCACTCCCCCTTGCCAGGGCTTTAACTCATTTTACCTGCTGTCACTCTGGGGCCAGATTCACGAAGCAGTTACGCAAGCACTTACGAACCTGGGGCCAGATTCACGAAGCAGTTACGCAAGCACTTATGAACCTGGGGCCAAATTCACCAAGCAGTTACGCAAGCACTTATGAACCTGGGGCCAGATTCACCAAGCAGTTACGCAAGCACTTACGAACCAGGGGCCAGATTCACGAAGCAGTTACGCAAGCACTTACGAACCTGGGGATAGATTCACGAAGCAGTTACGCAAGCACTTACGAACCTGGGGCCAGATTCACGAAGTAGTTACACAAGCACTTACGAACCTGGGGACAGGTTCACCAAGCCGTTATTTTTCACCCTGTTATTCCACACAATATTATACACGAAATATACTCTCTGAAAATTTTAGAAATTAAATAATTATGACCTTTTAAGCAATTTGTATTTTTAATATTTTCTGATTTAGGTATAATTTGAAAAAAGTAACTATTTGAGCATTTAATTTAATAAATTATTGTATAAAATGTTGTTTAATATAAAGCAGGATAACTGAGCGCGACACAACATATATAATATATACTTTTATATATAATAAACTATTTTGTTTATATGATGGAGTACCAGAGCCAGTTTGGCACTACAGCAGCTTTAGAAGGGGCTACAGTAGGGGACTACAGCAGGGGGCTACAGTAGGGGAGTACAGCAGGGGGACTACATCAGGGGGGGCTACAGTAGGGGAGTACAGCAGGGGGGCTACATCAGGGGGGGGGCTACAGTAGGGGACTACAGTAGGGGGACTACATCAGGGGGGGGCTACAGTAGGGGGACTACATCAGGGGACTACATCGGGGGACTACATCAGGGGACTACATCAGGGGACTACATCAGGGGACTACAGCAAGGGACTACAGCAGGGGGGCTACAGTAGGGGACTACAGCAGGGGGACTACATCAGGGGACTACATCAGGGGACTACAGCAGGGGACTACATCAGGGGACTACAGCAGGGGACTACATCAGGGGACTACATCAGGGGACTACAGCAGGGGGGCTACAGTAGGGGACTACAGCAGGGGGACTACATCAGGGGACTACATCAGGGGACTACAGCAGGGGACTACAGCAGGGGGCTACAGCAGGGGGGGCTACAGTAGGGGACTACAGCAGGGGGACTACAGCAGGGACTACAGCAGGGGACTACAGCAGGGGGGGGCTACAGTAGGGGACTACAGCAGGGGGACTACAGCAGGGACTACAACAGGGACTACAGCAGGGGACTACAGCAGGGGGCTACAGCAGGGGGCTACAGCAGGGGGCTACAGCAGGGGGGACTACAGTAGGGGACTACAGCAGGGGACTACAGCAGGGGGCTACAGCAGGGGGGACTACAGTAGGGGACTACAGCAGGGGGACTACAGCAGGGGGCTACAGCAGGGGGCTACAGCAGGGGGGACTACAGTAGGGGACTACAGCAGGGGGACTACAGCAGGGGACTACAGCAGGGGGCTACAGCAGGGGGGACTACAGCAGGGGACTACAGCAGGGGACTACAGCAGGGGACTACAGCAGGGGGGACTACAGTAGGGGACTACAGCAGGGGGACTACAGCAGGGGGCTACAGCAGGGACTACAGCAGGGGGCTACAGCAGGGGGGACTACAGTAGGGGACTACAGCAGGGGGACTACAGCAGGGGGCTACAGCAGGGGGCTACAGCAGGGGGGACTACAGTAGGGGACTACAGCAGGGGGACTACAGCAGGGGACTACAGCAGGGGGCTACAGCAGGGGGGACTACAGCAGGGGGCTACAGCAGGGGGACTACAGCAGGGGACTACAGCAGGGGGCTACAGCAGGGGGCTACAGCAGGGGGGACTACAGTAGGGGACTACAGCAGGGGGACTACAGCAGGGGGCTACAGCAGGGACTACAGCAGGGGGGACTACAGTAGGGGACTACAGCAGGGGGACTACAGCAGGGGGGCTACAGCAGGGGACTACAGCAGGGGGGACTACAGTAGGGGACTACAGCAGGGGGCTACAGCAGGGACTACAGCAGGGGGCTACAGCAGGGGGGACTACAGTAGGGGACTACAGCAGGGGGACTACAGCAGGGGGGCTACAGCAGGGACTACAACAGGGACTACAGCAGGGACTACAACAGGGACTACAGCAGGGACTACAACAGACAATCATAACTTACATGGTGCTGGAGCAGCTAGAGTCGGAGGCTACCTCACCCAGCCAGCACACTCCGATCATGACTCCCAGAGACAGTGGTAGACGACACCTGAAATGACAGTGGTAGTGATAGTGGTAGTGACGGTGGTGATGGTGGTAGTGATAGTGGTAGTGACGGTGGTGATGGTGGTAGTGATAGTGGTAGTGACGGTGGTGTAGGTGATAGCAAGACATAAATTATCCAATGGATAACAATGTGAAACAACAGTCATGCCTTATTTAAGTTACGTGTAGAATGGCCTATCGTTCAATGACAATTATCCACATCAGAAGACGACGCAGATAACACGATACTATGAGCCAGGAAGCTAACTTCATGCCCGAAACGCTTTGCGTAATAGTGGCTTTAGGCATTTGTTACGGACCCGAGTCTAGCGTCGTAGCACGGAGCAGTGACGACAACGCCATCTGTGAGTCAGCTCCCGAACCCCCCTCCAAATGGACGACGCCATCTAGTGAGGACGGGATATACCGGCCACAGGGGGCTGGATTCCCGTCTTAATCAGCTCATAACATAGCCGCTGCTGACCTCTGGTGAGGTGGCGCTTAGACAGCAACGCCATCTATGGAGTAAATAGGTGGACGTTTTTGTCTAAGCTTGTAAGTGATGTTTCTCAGTGACCCCATGTAGTGTCCCCAGTACTAATGGCGTGTCTGATTACAGAGTCGACCTGGGACTGCTGTATTGGACGATGGATCAGTCTACCCAAGGCAGCTAAAGTCTCCCCACGTGTTTGCTGCAGAAGCTGTGAGTCACCCCCGGACGAACACTGTTGAGTGTGTTAGCCTGCCTGTGACGTGGCAGTACCAGGAATCGTCTTATCTGGGGCTGGCTGGTGGAAGAGACTAGCCACTGTGGTGCAGAGAGAGGAGAGTGATCTGTGGAATCACACGAGGCTCCTGCCTAGGGCTCGCAACCCTAGTATCGGTCGTGGAGTGGCCTACACAGCGGAGCTGAATTGGAACCTGCCAGCTACAGGCTGGATTGTGGTTGAAGGCCTCCACGACGGTGCACCCAGTGGGACAGTGATTTGGCTGGCCTGTGGCCAGGGTAGATTCGCCGAGAGAATCTAAGGATTCATCGTGGGCCACAAAGAGGAGAACCGAAGCTACTCATCGTGAGCACCGTGGAGCATCCTGTGTCTTCAGAGGAAGACAAGTTATTGTACATAAGTGTAGTTATAGCCCCCGCGTGTGACTGTGAGATATTTATTTATGGTGGTGGTAGAAATAAATATATATATATATATATATATATATATATATATATATATATATATATATATATATATATATAGCAGTGCATTTGTATCCCTTCCCCTTTAATTTAACTTGCATTACGGAACATACCCCTTGAAAGCCACTACTAACTTGGGGCCGGATACCCAAACTCTAATAACATCAGAGAAGAACCCGGTTACGACCCAATAGGGCCGTAACAGCATTGTATGTACTAGCCCTAACTATAAATCCATCACTCTTTGTAAAATCTCTTGTGTGTATGTACCTTACCTAAATAAACATTTGATTTGATTTGAACTGACCTGCGACACAGGTGGCTGTACGGGGTCTTGACTCTCATGCTGCTTCTCCTCAGCTGTACAAGTCTGTACAGGAGATGGATGAACATCGACAGGTTGACCAACATCACGGCCAGAATGAAGCCCTTCATGTAGGCCCACTGCGCGGCCTGGGCTGTAACAGCATTAAATTCTTTTATCATCGAATCTAAATGTGTAATGACCTCGTAGATTGACTACCTTGGATAACCTGTTAGCCCCCCCCCCCCTCAAGGGCTGTTACGGATCAACCCGTTCTCGCACTTGCGTATAGTCAATATTGGCTTATTTAATAAGTGCATATGTGACATACTAATTGATTGTATATATTTTAGTTTACCTTGAAAAGCTTCATAGAAAACACCGACCTTACCTAACCTTCTTAGTATGTTAAGATAAGCATCTTATTGCTTCGTAATTACAATTATTACTTAACCTATTATAGGTATAAGTTAAGTAATAATTGTAAATAAGAAGCAATAAGATGCTTATCTTAACATACTAAGAAGGTTAGGTAAGGTCGGTGTTTTCTATGAAGCTTTTCAAGGTAAACTAAAATATTCACAATCAATTAGTATGTCACATATACACTTATTAAATAAGCCAATATTGACTATAAGCTAGTGCGAGAACGGGTTGCACGGATATAACATGGTGGATGATGCCTGAAACTCTAATTGATTGTAAATAACTGTTTCGGTCCAATGTATAAGACTAGAGTCTTAAAAGTGAATTAGTTTCTTAACCCTAGTTTAATTCACCCATTCGTGTTGATTCATGTTTGGCAGTGTATCTTATCCAGTTCAAGAGAGAACTGGATAAGCACCTCCAAAGGATACCTGATCAACCAGGCTGTGACTCATACGTCAGGCTGCGAGCAGCCGCGTCCAACAGCCTGGTTGATCAGTCCAGCAACCAGGAGGCCTGGTCGACGACCGGGCCGCGGGGACGCTAAGCCCCGGAAGCACCTCAAGGTAACCTCAAAGTGTCTAAATATTCCTTTACACAGGAGACAACAGGAAGATGCACCACACTTAGAACAACAGGAAGTTGAATCACACTTACTTGAGAGCCAACAATTGGGAGCCTTGATGCCCGGAAGAATAGCATTCGCGGGTTCGAGGGTGTTGATGAGGAAGAAGACAGCCCCTACCACAAGCGGGCACCCCCAAGCGTATATGCTGTACATTACGAACCACTTACGGCTGTCTCGTAGCTCAGGTCCATCCCTGAGAACACAAACAGGACGTTGTCAGCTACATGTATCAGTTGCTCTTCCAAAATGATGTGTTAGACAGTGTTCCTAGCTTCAAAATGCAAATTACTGTTCATCAGGATTTAAATAGGTACCAGGGGCCAGATTCACGAAGCAGTTACGCAAGCCCTTACGAACCTAGGGGCCAGATTCACGAAAGCAGTTACGCAAGCACTTACGAACCTGGGGCCAGATTCACGAAGCAGTTACGCAAGCACTTACGAACCTGGGGCCAGATTCACGAAAGCAGTTACGCAAGCACTTACGAACCTGGGGCCAGATTCACGAAAGCAGTTACGCAAGCACTTACGAACGTGTACATCTTTCCTCAATCTTTGACGGCTTTGGTTACATTTATTAAACAGTTTACAAGCATGAAAACTTGCCAATCAACTGTTGTTATTGTTATAAACAGCCTCCTGGTGCTTCGGAGCTCATTAACTGTTTAATAATTGTAAACAAAGCCGCCAAAGATTGAGAAAAGATGTACAGGTTCGTAAGTGTTTGCGTAAGTGCTTTCGTGAATCTGGCCCCTGGGAGTTAGACAGCTGCTACGGGCTGCTTCCTGAGGGATGTGTAACAAAAAGGAAGCCTGGTCGAGGACCGGGCCGCGGGGACGCTAAACCCCGAAGTCATCTCAAGATAACCACCATAAAATCACTAACATTATTTAAAATAACCCATATAAAATCATTTAACACTGCTAACTCGTCTAAATTTAACTAATATAATCACTGAGATATATATATTATGTATATATATATATATATATATGATTAAGGCGTCTTGTACATATATATATATATATATATATATATATATATATATATATATATATATATATATATATATATATATATATATACCTATAATATAAAACAAATCGGAATAAGTTAGAAATTATGTAATTCGTGAAGGAGGACTTACCAAGTCTTGACCGCCAAGTCGAAGCTAATGACGCTATACCAGAAGAACATAGCGAGGACGCTCACCAGACATATCTCAGCTGTCAGAGGAGACACAGATACACATGAGTTATAGTAACCAGTGGGTATTATAGTGGGGGGCCTCGTAGCCTGGTGGATAGCGCGCAGGACTCGTAATTCTGTGGCGCGGGTTCGATTCCCGCACGAGGCAGAAACAAATGGGCAAAGTTTCTTTCACCCTGAATGCCCCCTGTTACCTAGCAGTAAATAAGTACCTGGGTGTTAGTCAGCTGTCACGGGCTGCTTCCTGGGGGTGGAGGCCTGGTCGAGGACCGGGCCGCGGGGACACTAAAAGCCCCGAAATCATCTCAAGATAACCCCCTTAATCATCATTTGTGTTAGGGGACAGGTAGCCAGTGTGTGTATGATATACATGTTAGGCTTATATCCAGTTGCTCCCCCTTGGTATTAGGGTCGAATTACTGACCTCGCCAAGGCTGTAAACCCACAACAAAATGCCCCTATTTACTCCTAGGTAAACAGGAGCATTAGGTGATTGGAAAGACACCCATATGCAGGCGATGAGTCACAATAACGAGGCTGAAGTATGTTGACCAGACCACACACTAGAAGGTGAAGGGACGACGACGTTTCGGTCCGACCTGGACCATTCTCAAGTCGACTTGAGAATGGTCCAGGACGGACCTTCACCTTCTAGTGTGTGGTCTGGTCAACGCCCAATCATTTCAGTCCCGCCCGGGTTTTGAACCCGGGATTCTTGATTGTTAGTCGAGAAGGAACCCGACTGTAACTTCCGGTGGTTACAAGCAGAGAGGCTTACCTAAACACAGTGATACAAGCCAACCCGTTCTCGCACTTTCTTACAGTCAATATTGACTTATTAAATAAGTGCATATGTGATATACTAATTTATTGTGAATATTTTAGTTTACCTTGAAAAGCTTCATAGAAAACACCGACCTCACCTAACCTTCTTAGTATGTTAAGATAAGCATCTTATTGCTTCGTAATTACAATTATTACTTAACCTATTATAGGTATAGGTTAAGTAATAATTGTAATTACGAAGCAATAAGATGCTTATCTTAACATACTAAGAAGGTTAGATAAGGTCGGTGTTTTCTATGAAGCTTTTCAAGGTAAACTAAAATATTCTAATTCTATTATATTCTAATTATTCTAATAAACTAATTCACAATAAATTAGTATATCACATATACACTTATTTAATAAGTCAATATTGACAGTAAGAAAGTGCGAGAACGGGTTGTACAAGGCGGGGGGGGGGGGGGCTTACCTAAAATCATACATGCGGCAGGACTTTCGATCCAAGTTGATCTGTTAACCTCAAATGCGATCAAAGCCACGAGCTGAGCGCTGATCATACTGATGAAGCTCCACGTATGAAGCTTCTGTCTTCTGATCTGGGGATAGAAGGCGTACAGACAGAGGGTAACTAGGAGACACAGACACGATACCCCAGTAAAGTATCGTCGGAGGTGCGTTACTGACGCACACTGACGATTACTCAGTTCATTTCTGCTAGCACATACAAAAACAGCCTCTTTCAGTGTCCCATTGGCTTCCTCTTTGTGCGCTATACAGTAATCTCGTGTAATGAAATTAAGTTCTTCTATGTATATGGAGCTGTTATCTAGAAAGGAGATATTGTCTACATCCCAATTGAAGTAATGTTCGTCACAGGCTGGAGGAAACCCAGTAAGTACTACTGGATTTTTTAAGTTACTCAGGGTGAATATGGGCCACAGTTGTCCCTCTGAGGACCTCTCATCACTTTCACACGTTCCGTTTAAAGAAAAAAAATCATTGTTCTTACAGCACTTCCTCCGTATAGTGGTATGATCACAAATATAATTTTTACTACTTTTATTGAGACAAAAGTAGGCAAAGTACCTGTATACGATTTCACTCTCATTCTTGTTAGTATTTGGCTTTACATAGAAACAGAATTCATCTGTCGTCAGTTTAAAACAAGGATCTTCATGGAACTTAAACAATGTTGGAGTATTGTTGATGACTTTGATGAACGCCGTGGTTGTGTCCGTCGGGTCAGTACTGATGTCAATACGAATCCCATTCTGCGAAATTCCACAGTTCAAATCCACTTCTTCAAATTTAATGTTGAATGCCTCGTTAGTGTCATTAGTCAAAGTAACTATGGGCGGCACTAAGGCGTCACTTACACTACTATTTGATAGACAACGTGGTATAACCATGTTAGCCAACCTCTGTATGTCGGAGGATCTATCTGAAGACGTCGTGGTGGGCTTCACAGAGGCAGAAGGAAGCGAGTTCTCACTGGAATATACTCCCATGGCTTCTATCACCACCACCATCACCACCCACCACACACTGAATCTTTTCCGAGTCATCGTTCGTCTTGGGAGCCAACAAAAATCTTCGAAATATAATTGAACAGTGAGACCATTCAGCTGACAGGTAAGAACAATTGGTGCTACTGACCTGTTGAGCACTTGGACTAAGGTGACTGTTGTGGCAGCAGAGAGGCAGGTATTGCTTACGTGTCGGTTTGTACAAACTGTTGAAGTCACTGGTGAACAGTCATATAGCTGGTCACACCAATACTTCACAAGATCTATGGACTCCTATGGAAGTGGTGTAATAGACTTGATATAACGTTAAGCTTCGTGAAGAGAAGATGCCACACTCTCCTTCCTTCAAAAAGCAGATCTGTAGAAGAAATATTGTAGTTAGATGTGAGATCACAAAAGATGAGCAACCCACAGCTGATCAATGATCAGTTGCCAATCCTGCTGGCGTCAACGTGTCATTATTGACCACAATGGCAACAATCACCAATAAAGATAATACTAAAAACTGAAAATATCTACTAAATGTCAATAATTAGGATACTCCCAGAGTATCCTACATCCGAATAATTCGTAGAAAATACCCATTTATTTGTTTTAATAACCGTTATAAACAATGTAAATTATTAAAAAAAACATTCATAATATAAAAATACTGCGTAATGTTCAGTCTATATCGACATATATCTGCCCGAAACGCTTTATTACTTAGTACTAGGCCTAGTGTACTAGTGTACCTAGAGTCACCTTGCCTAGCGTACTCACACTAGGCAACCTAGTGTGAGTACAGTATGCTGTATAATATTATGCAATATGGTCAGTTGCATAGGCCTGCACATAGGCTCTGCTTCTACACACCTTTCAACCAAATCAACCAGGTACCTGTTGGCTGTCAAACACCTCTAAGTAAACTGCGGCGACCAGTTTGGCGCCGGAGCCGCCGGAACAGCACTATTTATTTATTTATTTATATACAAGAAGGTACATTGGGTTTGTGAGAATACATAGCATAGTACAGTAATTACACTCTTGTAAAGCCACTAGTACGCGCAGAGTTTCGGGCAGGTCCTTAATCTAACAGATAATTTTAAGTAGGTAAATTCTGGCAGAATTAATAAAATGATAACAAATACATTGCAAGAAAAAAAATGAGATGAGAGAGATTAGTAAGTATATTAAAGCACGTTGGTATATTAAAGCTCTGATTGATTACATTGACAGCTTGATTGGTAATTTAAACAAGATTAATAGACACCATACAGCAGATTGACAGCACATATACGAAGACAGCAATGATCACTAGGCGCTGCCTTAATTGGCTACTCCTAGTTCCAACTAAACGGCCAATTAGACATGCGGCATTTGGTCAACCAACACAACCATATTCTAAGACCTCACTAAATGGTGATTTATAAGACCGTCAGCATTGAGGAAATCGTGAACTGGTGAACCCTAGGCGCTGCTCAGCTGGGAGAGTTACTGATACATTCATGGAGAGTGTAGCTGGGTGAACAAATCCACAAGGGCCGTGACGAGGATTCGAACCTACGTCCCAGAGCATCCCAGGGGGCCAGATTCACGAAAGCACTTACGAACGTGTACACCTTTCCTCAATCTTTGACGGCTTTGGCTACATTTATTTAACAGTTTACAAGCATGAAAACTTGCCAATCAACTGTTGCTATTGTTATAAACAGTTTCCTGGTGCTTCCGAGCTCATTAACTGTTTAATAATTGTAAACAAAGCCGCCAAAGATTGAGAAAAGATGTACAAGTTCGTAAGTGTTTGCGTAAGTGCTTTCGTGAATCTCGCCCTGCAGAGCATTTCTTCATTGATGCATCAAGCTATTGTGATTGGTGTGTGTGTAGTGTAGCTGGGTGTTAATGAGAGTATTAGACAATGTTAAGGAGACTTACCTGTGCAATAAATAGCTAAGGCTGCTCTTATATCGCCTCTACAGGATGAACAACCCAGCGGGTTTTCTTCCTATTGGGGAGTGTTGTACATTCTGCTATGGCGGTGTGTCCACTCACAAGATGGGTGGCGCTGCCCAATAAACTCGCCCCTCGGGGCAAAATTAAAAAATAGATGAGGCGGCAAGAGAGAACGCTGTACAGGACCTCACTGCTCTCTTGTCAGGAGACAACTCAAGTAACCTTGAACAGATTCTCCTTGTCCACGACCCTCACCCCCCCCCCCCTCCCCGTCCCCCAACATTTACATACGCACGCACACACACACACTGGGTGTGCCCGTGCGTGCGTGTTTGCATTCCAATAGATAAAATCTATTAGGCAGTGATGTGGTGGAGGCTGACTCTATACACAGTTTCAAATGTATTTTGAAAAATTTTGCCCCGAGGGGCAAGTTTATTGGGCAGCGCCAAATGTAGATATGATAGAGCCCAATAGGCTCAGGAACCTGTATACCTGTTGATTGACGGTTGAGAGGCGGGACCAAAGAGCCAGAGCTCAACCCCCGCAAGCACAATTGCGCACACACACACACACAATGCAAAGGCATGCTATAAAATGGCTTCCAGAACTGAAAAACAAGAGATATGAAGATAGGCTAGAGGCTTAAATATGTCTAACTAGAAGATATAAGAGCCGATATGAACACCACTTACAAAATAATATCATGAATCGACCAAATTGACAAAGAGGAATTCCTGAAACCGACAATCTCAAGATGTTATAGATTCAAGCTAAGGAAACAAAGGTGCCGACAAAATTTAGAAAGTTTTATTTTGCAAACAGTAGTAGACGGCTGGAACAAGTTCAAGTTCAAGTATGTTTATTGAGATACTAGTTAAAGTTAACAAGTTCAAGTGAGGTGGTGGTAGAGGCCAAAACCGTTTCAAAGTGTTGAAATTGAAATTGAAATTGAAATAAGTTTATTGAGGTAAAATACACACAAAGGGATGAGGTAGCTCAAGCTATTCTCACCCCGTTCAGTACATCGTGTTAATACATACATAGACACACATCACAAACAATAAACACATTACCAAACATTCTGAGAGATAAACATATACATTTCCTATTTCAAAGTGTTATACGACAAAGAGTACTGGGAAGACGGGACACCAAGAGCGTAGCTCTCATCTTGTAATTACACTTAGGCAATTACACCTCTATTAAATGAACAAATCCACAAGGGCCGTGACGAGGATTCGAACCTGCGTCCAAGAGCATCCCAGACATTTTGACGCATCACGTTAGTGTGATCTGTGTGTGTGTGTACACCTCTATTCCCCTATTATCGTGGACTCTTGGTACAGTACTAAGAATCTCTACCAACACACTCACAGATACTGGCGTCCACTCAGGATGTTATGCAACTCTCTTCGCTACCGCTCACAGGATGAGTATGGGGTGCACAATAAACTATGAGTACAGGATGAGTATGGGGTGTACAATACACTGTATGAGTACAGGATGAGTATGGGGTGCACAATACACTGTATGAGTACAGGATGAGTATGGGGTGCACAATACACTGTATGAGTACAGGATGAGTATGGGGTGCACAATAAACTGTATGAGTACAGGATGAGTATGGGGTGCACAATAAATTGTATGAGTACAGGATGAGTATGGGGTGCACAATACACTGTATGAGTACAGGATGAGTATGGGGTGCACAATACACTGTATGAGTACAGGATGAGTATGGGGTGCACAATAAACTGTATGAGTACAGGATGAGTATGGGGTGCACAATACACTGTATGAGAAAAGGATGAGTATGGGGTGCACAATAAACTGTATGAGTACAGGATGAGTATGGGGTGCACAATAAATTGTATGAGTACAGGATGAGTATGGGGGGCACAATACACTGTATGAGTACAGGATGAGTATGGGGTGCACAATACACTGTATGAGTACAGGATGAGTATGGGGGGCACAATACACTGTATGAGTACAGGATGAGTATGGGGTGCACAATACACTGTATGAGTACAGGATGAGTATGGGGTGGGTACAGGATGCACAATACACTATATGAGTACAGGATGAGTATGGGGTGCACAATACACTGTATGAGTACAGGATGAGTATGGGGGGCACAATACACTGTATGAGTACAGGATGAGTATGGGGGGCACAATAAACTGTATGAGTACAGGATGAGTATGGGGGGCACAATACACTGTATGAGTACAGGATGAGTATGGGGGGCACAATACACTGTATGAGTACAGGATGAGTATGGGGTGCACAATACACTGTATGAGTACAGGATGAGTATGGGGGGCACAATACACTGTATGAGTACAGGATGAGTATGGGGGGCACAATACACTGTATGAGTACAGGATGAGTATGGGGGGCACAATACACTGTATGAGTACAGGATGAGTATGGGGGGCACAATAAAAATAAAAAAAAAATATCTTCGGGGTCTGGGGTAGTTGTATTTAAACAAAAATAGTAGACGATGTAGTTAAAAATAATTCTTTCGAGATAGTTTAAATGACAATGTGTTTCGTAAAGTGAAATTATTTGCTTTATAAATTACAAAACAATATTTGTCCAGCAAACACAACAAGAACAAAGTTGTAATTATTACGGACTGTTAGTCTTCCTAAGTAATACATTTTTTTATTTATTGGTTCTATATTTTAGTCAGTTGTGTCAGGTATAAGAATGTGTGGTTAAGTAAGCGAGTGATGAGACGCAAGAGCAAGCGTAGTAGCATCCCTGGATATGAAGGTTCTCATAGTCCACCTTATCAGTTTCCTGGCTGATGTCACGGTTGCTTTGTTATGTTCACTAAATGTTAAGTTGTCGGACATTATTATTGTTAGCAATTAAACGTCGTTTTCCTTGACAGGAAATCTGATTACATTTTGTGTTGTAATGTATACGACTTTGAACAATGGGGCAGTGTTTCTTTCACCCTATGCCTCTGTTACCTAGCAGTAAAATAGGTACCTGGGTGTTAGTCAGCTGTCACGGGCTGCTTCCTGGGGGTGGAGGCCTGGTCGAGGGCCGGGCCGCGGGGACACTAAAGCCCCGAAATCATCTCAAGATAACCTCAAGATTGGGTGACAACATTCAAAGAGTTTAGTGGTTTCCGAAGTTTATTTAATATAGTCTTGGTTACAGCAGTCGGTTGTTGGAAATGTAATGACGGGTCTTAATAGCTGAGATGAGGCCAGCAGCATAGAGCTAGAGGGAGACTAAATGGATGAGAACAGATAGCTTGAGTACAGCTGGAATCTGGCTGTCTTCTCTGTGGTATCTTGAGAGAGTAGGAGCTAGATTCGTCGTGTTTCATTGTTACTGGTGAGTGTCAATGGTGTTAAAGAAGATCCAAGGTGTATGCAAAATGTTTGTCATTGGACCGCTATACACTGGCGAGGGTGTTGTTGTTGTTGTTTTAGATCCAGCTACTGGGAACAAAAAGTTCCATGTAGCATGGGCTATGGTGATCCCGTAGTAGACTTACCTGGTACAGGAGTGGGGAAAGTAGCATGGGCTATGGTGATCCAGTAGTGGACTTACCTGGCACAGGAGCGGGGCAAGTAGCACGGGCTATGGTGATCCAGTAGTGAACTTACCTGGTACAGGAGCGGGACTGTAACTCGGCGAGGCTCTGTTGTTGTTGTTCAAGATTCACCTACTGGAAACAAAACGTTCCAAGTAGCACGGGCCATGGTGATCCCGTAGTGGACTTACCTGGCCTAGTTGAGGGGCTGTAACTTGAATGATTTCTGGAAACTTGGGAAGACAAATCAATTTTAATTATTAGTGCACATATAAAATTACTGTAATAATTCTTGGAATGGGGAATTCTTAGGGATAAGTTATGTGGAATTAACAGTCAAATCAAATTGCCTGAACTTCTGAGGACGTTGGAGTAACTATATTACGTTTAATATAATTGCTACAGTATCGTGTATTCTATTTCAGTCCTACATTTTTTCCATAGCCAAGTTGCTGGAATTTTTCATTTGAAATCATGTTATTTTCTGTTGACCAGTGGAAGACCTTATAGATATCTGCAGACAACAAGTCTCAATAACGAGACTGAAAATTCGACGCCCAGCCCGTGACCAACCCGTCCTCCTAAATAGAACATCGCATTTTGACGTACACTTTACCCCAAGGCCAAAAATCATCGTCCTAGAAAATGGAAGTGCTCTCAGCCAAGCTCACACTGGACCTCTCGTCTTGGATTTTCTATGATATATTGAAAGCTCGAGTAGCGAGCTCTCTTAAGTTTATGGGCTTAAAATTATGACTTAAAAGATTCTTGGCTATATGAATTGCAAATGCTTACAAGTGAAACGTGGTAACATCAGATCATATTGTTGTGCAGACAAGTTCCATTCCTTGTCTTAAAAATAACTAACTTGAATGGATGGTGGCAGCAACCTTCTATCTTTCTACTATTCTAGCACTCTTACTTTCTACTTTCCTCCTTGATCTCATTCTAAACTTTCCCTTTCTCCTGACTTGCCTCTCTACTCCCTTCCTCCTCACCATTTATTCCTTCAATTTCCGATACTTACAATCTAACTTGAAACACATTTTTCAATTGACTAGTGTAACATTCTGTGCCCGTGATGTTGAGAGGTGGCTTTATCTTTCTTTAAGGCAAAAGGCAGAGCCTTTCATGAGCCTGGCAGTAGTAGTACATAGTACGAGACAGACAAACGATACAGGGATATACTGTATATTCACAGATTCCTCACTTTTCTGTGTAAATACATTAGTTTACTTTTATGTTTGAAGATGTAAGCATTTACTAAAGTATAATTACCGGTTGGTCAGTACACTATGATGGTCTTAATACTCCTTGTGCAGTTGAAGCCCAACACCAAACCAAACCAATTGCTCAACTCGTCTGTTGAAACATAGTGCAGGTTGCATCGAGCTCAAAACTGTTCAGGACCTTTGCAAAATTTCATTACAGCAGTTTGTGCCCTCCTTTTATGGAAGCCGTATTGGACATACGACAACTTATTGGAATTGTAAATGAAAACCAACAAGCCTGTTGTACACATCTGTCTTAAATATTTGGCTGTCAAATAAAATGGACAGACACCGGTTGATTATTCTCTACTAACTGTGGGTCATCACTCATCAGGACAAATGGGAGAGAGGGGAGACCTCTGACAAGCTGCCAGCTTCCTGTCCTTGTCAAGGTCAGAGATTGTGGTTGGATCTTGAGGCCTTAACAGATCTCCCCCTTTTTAACAGAGAAAGGTACCGAAAGAGTTTACCAGTGCAAAGACCACTCAAACCTTAACAGCTCAGCAGTCTCCACAAGGTTTGCCACATTACCCCTTCAGTTAGTGAATTTGGGTACCCATACAGGCACCATGGATGGTACATTGGTTAGAATGCTGTTCAAATAGACAATAGAGTATAACCTATCAAAGTCTATGAATGGCTTTTAGTTTCAGATCTAATATGGAAAAAGATTAAGAACTTACCTTTATAGACATCAACTTAATTCTCGGTTAACATATTTTATCTTCCTTCAAGATAAAACCTTCCTTCCTTCCTTCCGTCTGTTTCATATCCTACTTGTTCATCCAGGGGCAATATACTGTATATATTTTTCCAATTTACATTTAATTGTAATTTTCACAGTTCACTTGCAACACAGATGATGACTGAAGGTTGTTAATGGGTATGAAAAGATACAATTGTATTTAAGGAAATAAATTTCACATATCATCTAGAAGGATAAATAAACTATATTTGACTAGATGAACATAAAGTATATATTTTTATTACACAACATGGAATGTTAATTTGCATTGTGCTTGTGTATTTTACTAAAACCATGAAGAGTCATGCAATAAATAATATCAAGGCTGCCTTTTCAATGTGATAAATTGAACAAGTTTGCAACACTTTGCAAATGTTTACAATACACAATTAAGACTTCATACTAATCTAAATTTTATAATAAAATATAGGCAATCTTGAAGCACTATTCTACTATGCTAATATTACATCCATACACTTTGGTTATGATTGTGAGCTCACACACAACACTGTGCTCACGTTCTTGTATCGGTCAGATCACTGTTATCCCTTTGGGGTACGTGCTCACGTCCTTGTATTGGTCAGATCACTTATCCCTTTGGGGGTACGTGCTCATGTCCTTGTATCGGTCAGATCACTTATCCCTTTGGGGATACGTGCTCACGTCCTTGTATCGGTCAGATCACTTATCCCTTTGGGGGTACGTGCTCACGTCCTTGTATCGGTCAGATCACTGGTATCCCTTTGGGGTACATTTCATCAAGAGTGCATTACAGTATCTAAATTCTTGTGGCGTTTTATATTGTACGTCATTATCATTGAAACTGCAGTTGCAAATAAGGTCATGCAATATACTTGAATATATAGTTCATCATATTAGCCCTCGCTCTGCTCTACAAATGACAAAGTAGAGAACATCCTATTTCAGAATTTTAGACATTAAACTAATGATTAAATCATTATTGATGATCAATGTTTTTACAATATTAAAATTTGTAAATTTTAAAGTTTGTCATAAATTATAATTTGCATATGTTCTCAAAAGCTTCCGTTAAAAATATTCACTATGAAAGTAACCAAATTCATTAACAAACAATATATAAACATTTTTACAATTTTAAGTTCAGATTTAACATAAAACTACATAAAACCTTCAATATACACAACACCAATATGAAAATTGTACCGATAATAAAATATAAAAATCTATGGACTACATTGTGTACAATCTTACAAACACATTATAAATGAACTGCATTAAATTCATTAAACAATGTTTTTTAGAATAACAGCAAAATAACAAATTAGTAATTATTTAGCTTCATGGTTCGCCGAGGAGCATGATAGGTGCAGATGTAAGACGGTGGTTTCACTTGCCGTTAATCAGCCACTAGTTCCTTACTGGGTATTTTCTTAATGCCTAATGAGTATAATTGTGATCTACAGAAACTAAAATCATCAATTAGAAGATCATTTGTTTTTACATTGGTTTGAAATTAAATCATATGCATATGCCCAAATCATTATTCTTCTCATGCATAATTATACAAGGTGCTGTATTCACAAATCTTTTCAGTATCTGTGTTCTGTGTACTCTAAAACCCAGTAACTTAATTATTCTAATATGAAAACCCTGAAAGAATGTTCATAAGAGCTCATATTACCTCTACTCCTGTAGGTGGTGAAATTATTCCAACTTCTAATGCCTCTCGCTCCAAATCTTGCAACTGCCGTCTAAGGCGGGCTACACGAGATCTAAGAGATGAATCCCGCTCGCGCAATTCTCGTACTACTGACCATGCTGCCTCTTGGGGTCCTTGGTCCACCACCCACCGCAAGAAGACACTAGCCCACAATTGCTATGGAAATAATAACTTATCAGAGGAACTGACGTAATGCAGCTACAGTAATTACTTGTTATATTTTTTATAAGATTGATGGGGCATGTGAAAGTTAAAATAAGAAAATAAGTAAGAACTGTACAGTAGAATCTTGATTCAACTAACTATATGGGACTATAGGCCTGATTTATTGCTATGCCTGTTTTCCTTAATGTTTTTGTTCATTTACAAAAATGTCTAAAAATGTGATTAGACATTAAAAAACAAGAGATGAATGTAATGAAATGCTTCTTTCTGTGAGGGCCTCAGTGGCTCTCTGTTGCTAGCTGCACTGAGATACCACACCACACACTCCTGTGTGTGGTGCCTCCTTCACTTTCTCCTGTTGATTGAAGGTTGAGAGGCGGGACCAAAGAGCCAGAGCTCAACCCCAGCAAACACAACTAGGTGAGTACTAGGCGAGTACACACATAAATCACATCAGTCATTGCAAGTCCTTTAATCCTTCCGCTGCACAAGTCATACCAGGATGATTTAGAGTATCGTGTAAGATTTAAAAGTTCTGTGCATACATGTGGCTCACATCTGCTTCCTCAGGCCTACAATAAATAGATGCCATCATGGAAAAAATCATGGGCACCCTTTATGGATCCTTTTTGGATATAAGGGCCTCATTATTGAGTGGGCGACCACGTGCAGCATTTTCACACATGCACCATGTGCCTTACTATGGTGTAAACACCATGATAAGGCACCCCACTCCAGCGGTCCAAGACCTAAAGACTGAACTCCCGAACACATGCTACTGCAGCTCACAGCACCACCGTGTTGCTTGTGCCCATGGCATCATTTAATAACGATGAAATATGTAACTATCATTATTTTGTGATGATAGTGCCAGACAAGATCCTAAGTGTAATAAAGACTATGTATAAGGTTCAGATATCAGTGAGCACAATTGCACAAACAAATCATATTAACATGATGTATCAATGAGAAAATTAGTTGGAGTCACGAGGAGGATTTGAACCTGCACTCTGAGTACTTCCAAGCACACATCTTAAACCACTGGATCACAACATAGCATATTGTGCTCCAGTAGTTTAAGGCATGTGCTTGAGGTACACACAGATATCACAACAGCGTGATGCATCAAGTGAACAAATCCACAAGGGCCGTGATGAGGGTTCGAACTTACAGCCAGGATGATCCCAGACGCTGCCTTACTCGACTAGACTACGACATGGTCAAAGGAATTGGAACCGGGAATTCCACCGACTTCACACGGATCCTGCAGCCTATCCGAGACACAAACCAGGGTTTTACACAATCCATGCAGTTGCTTGTTGTGGTGCACTTTTACTTTTCAGGTTGTCTTTTTTTGTGGTAACTGTGGTGATCCTAGATCCCCAGCCTGGACTTTCCTGCTATTGAATGGGCCAGATTCTGGTGCTGGTCTCTGGTAGGTGCATGAGAATCCATAGAAATCTGGTATGGTCTTGTGGGTTTGACAGGTATACCAGTGTAAAGTCCAGGGAACTGCTCATAGGGACCTCCCACAAAATACATGGGAGCACATATGGGGGAGGGGAATTAAACACAATGACTTGGGCAGCCAGGAGGCCTGGTCGACGACCGGGCCGCGGGGACGCTAAGCCCCGGAAGCACCTCAAGGTAACCTCAAGGTAACCAGCAATTAAACCAAAACCAAGCAATGATCCTTCAAGGACTAATCATTCCAGGGGTAAACAAGCACCATTTTGTTGGTTAAGGAAGCGGCAGTAGGTCCTAGCAGAATGTAACAAGTGTGTGACTAAGGTGAATAGCAGGCCAAGACAAGGAGGGGATCTGAACTGCCAGGGAAGTTACTGAGGCAGCCTTTCCAGACAATAACAATATTTAAATTAATGCTTACCAGGCTCATAGGGGCAACAGATGGCCAAATAACACGTTGATTGGGCTCATACATAGGATTGAGGTATTTTGGAAGCACCTCTGGCCGATTGACAAATGACCACAGGCTGGCTGTTCGTTCCTGGGCCTGCATTGCTCTTCGTTCTCCTTCGTTATTTGCTAGAAATGTGCCTGAAAAATTTATGTTATTTCAAATACAGGACTTCAAATTCCCTATCAACAAAGAAATGCACTGAACCATAATACAGAATAATTTGATTAAATTTGTATATTTTACTGCAAATCACCGATATACAGTCAGCAGTCAGCTGATAACTGAGTGGACAGCGGTAGGGATTCATAGTCCTAAGGTTCCAGATTCGATCCCCGGCGGAAGCGGAAACAAATGGGCAGAGTTTCTTTCACCCTGATGCTCCTGATCGCTTAGCAGTAAATAGGTACCTGGGAGTTAAACCGCTGCTATGGGCTGCTTCCTGGGGGTGTGTAACAAAAAGGAGGCCTGGTCGAGGACCGGGCCGCGGGGACGCTAAACCTTGAACTCATCACAAGATAACCCTCAAGATAACCTTCAGTAACACAAACAAATCACACTAATCTGATATATATCAATGAGAAAATCAACTGAGGTGACTCAAACCTGCAACCAAGGGACTCCCAACTGCTGACATTACCACAGTAGTAACAAGTTGTGGTACAGTGGTAACATCAGTGGTTAGGAGTGCGTTGGTCACAGGTTCGAGTCCCTTCACAGCTCCAGTTGATTTTTCTTATACCCTGAAGTATTAAATTTACCAACAAGTAACTCCAGGTTTTATTGGCTGGCTCTGCCAGAATCTATTTACAACACAGTGAACCTCAATATAATATAATAAATTGCAACTCCATTTACACTACTGGCAGCTACATTGCTACACTGGCAATGTATAAACTACCTAACAGAGGATGCACTAATCTGGATTTAAAGTCAATTGTACTGCTGGAACACAAAGGCAGAGTCAAGAAATGTAGATTAATGATCTGATATTGCTCAAACCTAAATGAAAATCACAAACATCAATAAAGAGCGCACGCATTCATCTTCCAGCAGCCAGTTACCTACCTTCACTCACTCACATTTTTACTTCTGTGAAGAGGTGAATATTAAAACATACACATCTTTTTTGAGTTCCTACTTTTCCTTTTCTTTAGTTGCTAAAGCAATCTTACTTCATTTAGAATATACAGAGGACCTCGAGTGACGAGCGGCTCCATCTACGAGCATTTCATTTCAGGTAACGCCACTCGCAGAAAATTTATCTCGATTGACGAGCTTTCGCTACATTAACGAGAAAACCATGTGATGCTTCCTAGCGTTCCCGCTGGTTCTCGCAAATTCTCTGACACCTCAGATGATGCAAATCAATGATTTTTTTTAAAAGATGCTAATGATGCTGGGATGTAAAGGGGTGACTGTTGTAATGTTGTAAAACATTAATTTTTTTAATAAAAAAAATTAAAAAATTTTGAAAAAGAAATGTCAAAAGGTTCGTTCAGTTTATGTCATGTAGGCTGCTCCATTTTCTGTAAAAAATAAAAACTGAAAAAATATAATTTTTTTTTTAATTTGAAAAACAAAAAAATGTCAAAAAGGTTCGTTCAGTGTATGTCAGGTAGGCTGCTCCATTTTCTATAAAAAAAAAAAAAAATGAAAAATAAGTAAATGTTGAACAATTTTGAAAAAAAAAAAATGTCAAAAAGGTTCATTCAGTGTATATCTGGTAGGCTGCTCCATTTTATAAGAAAAAAATTGAATATCATATTGATGTTTTCGGCAGTGGAATGGATTAACTTTATTTCCATTATTTTAAATGTGGAAAGTTAATTGGCAAAACGAGCGTTTCACATGAGCTCTGTGCTGGAACGGATTAAATTTGTTAATCGAGGCTCCTCTGTATTCACTTAGTTGTGCTTGCGGGGGTTGAGCTCTGCTCTATCGGCCCACCTCTCAACTGTCAATCAACTGTTACTAACTACACTATTTTTTTTTCTCCCCCCCCCCCCCAGGAAGCAGCCCGTAACAGCTGTCTAACTCCCAGTTACCTATTTACTGCTAGGTAACAGGGGCATTAGGGTGAAAGAAACTCTGCCCATTGTTTCTCACCGGTGTCGGGAATTGAACCCCGGACCACAGGATTACGCGTCCTGTGTGCTGTTCACTCAGTCACTGGCCCTCTGTATTTTCCCATACAATACAGTACTATAATTTATACCAAATATGCACCTTAATTCAGGTGCATTATCTTTCAACAACTGAGGAAAGATGATATGTAAAACAAAGCTTCATACTTTTTAATGTAGCAAGCTCTCAAAAACTGGTAAACATCTTACCAAATTGTGATGAATATGAATGCTCAAACAACATTACAAGGAAGTTTTCTGCAAACTCAAAGCTGCAGCTAAACTGTGAATGAATTTGGTAGACACAGTCTAGAAAGAGGAGGAAGGTCGGAGAGTTGGACTTGGAGCGCTGAGCACTTGGAGTGTAGCAAGATCGGGCATGACGAGTTGCAAATGGATGGCCTGCCTGTATCCATTCTCGCTCTAACAGTGCCTCAAACCTGAAATGTAAAACCTTTCATATTATATACTATTTCCAACCTTTGAAATGCTATTTAAAAACCTATATGTAATAGTTTACAAAATTTTGTTAGTTGCCTACAATTTTGAAGTTTTCTAAATTTTGCAACAAGAAAGGAAAACAAAATCAGCATTGAATATAATGAAATGCCTCTCTTTGGATAAGATCCTTGTGGCTCCCTGACACTATCTTGAGGAGATAAGTAAGAAAGTAAGTAATTATCAAAAGAAGGCACCAAACCGGGAAGGCTATGTATCTCGAGGAGATAGCTTTCAACCACTAGGTCACATCAGCCAAGGAGTTAGTTCTGTTTGGTCTACTGGGGCCAGTCCCAGAACTTTGCCTTCTCACAGAGGCACAGAGTTATATTCCACTACCCCACCAGGAAAGCATCCAAAATGTCAGCAAACCAATGCAGACCAATGCTGCGTTCAAGGAGACCAAAGCCTCAAAACTGCCAAAAGAACTTTCCAAACATTGTAAACAAACAATTGAATATTTAGAAACCAGTGTGAGCTCATTAGCACTGCCTCCAAGTCCGCTCTGGGGCACGTGCAAAGACACACACACACCTACTGATGAACCTGGGAGGGTGGGAATCAGCAAAGCACCGGGGTTCACCCAGAAAGAGACATTTCATTACATTTAACACTTGCTTTCTAAGGGAGTTCCCTTGGGCTCCCTTAGCTAAGGGAAGCTAACTACCCATGGACAATGAAAAAGCAGGAACTCACCAGGAAGGAGAGATCACAGGGAACCAAACTGAAGAAGTGATGGCTGGGCAAGAGAAATGACCCAAGACAGGCATGACGAGGCCCGGGAACATTAACTAATACCAGGCTGCATAGACCCCTGTTAGACAACCAAAATTCCCCTGCCTGAAAATCAGCCCAGGAGATGTTTGCAAACACTACAACAAGAGTAATACATTTACAAACATCATAGGGCATGAGGGTAGACCGCAGGCTGGCCGAACTTGATGACAAAGAAGAGCCACGGGGGGAAAACAAACCCCACACGACTCAGGGTTGTAGGTGCCACCCACCCAACAACCAGCATGGTGGAGGCAGAAAGAATGATCATTGCACCGTGGCACAGAAGACAAACAACTTTCAAACTCCCACAAGGCGAGAGTCAGGTTTAGGGGGAATATCCATAGGCCACACCAAACCCGCAGCGGATTACCAGGGCCCAAAGGACTAATTAAACTGGACATCCAGGCACTGGGGATGCACATGCAGTTCCAAGCACCCTACGATCCATGTCTACATAACACAAACTGGATAGAAAACATACTTGTGTATAAGGAAAACCATAAAGCAAATGCCCCCCATAGGACAAAGTCCAAGGATGGCCAGTGTTTAGTTTAGAAACAGCAAGACCTGCGCCCAGCTGGTTGACGACCCACGAACCTACAGTGGACACCTACTCAGGTCAGCATCAGCGACAGAGCTGGTGTGGAAGGCTGGGAGAGCAACCCGTCCTCTTAAAAATAACGTCACTTTTCGCTCGTATGCGCGCTATGGCCAAATTTGGACGTAATTTGAAATGAAATTGACTCACAAGTGACATACTGTTCCGTTTTCTGTTTGAGTCATCCGGCCTACGCGGACAGGCTAGGAGAGGAAACTTTCAACTAACGTTTTTCATAATGTTTTGAAACTATGAGAATTTCCTGCCCACCTAACCCATCAGAGGACCCTTAACTTACTGTTGTTGAAAAAAAATACCAAATTTATTTTCATTTTTTTTTCATTTTCAAATTACGTCCAAATTCGGCCATACGGGCAAACGGCCAAAAGCGACGTTCTTTTTAAGAGGAGAGGTTGGGGAGAGACCTGGGGCTCAGGGCCCCACCCCACACTGGTGGGTGCTAATGAGCTCATGCTAGTTTCAAGACATCAGATCATTTGTTTACAAAGTTTGGGGGTGTTTGTTTACCAGTTTTGAGGCTTGGGCCTCTTGGGACTAAGCAGGGGTCTATTTTGGTGTACTGTCTTTCTGGATGTTTTCCCCTGTGGGGTGTCAGAGTGTCAGCTGCTCTCTGCACCACTGTGACGGAGGGCAGGTTCTGGTGCTGGTCTCTGGTAGGCCAAACAGAACCTCACAGCTGATGTAACCTAGTTGTTGGCAGCCATCTCGGTGAGAGAGCTTCAGGGAACCACAAGGTTCTCCCGCAAGAATATATATTCTAAATTTGTATGGAAATTATATTTTTATGAATCTCCTATAAATTCAACATAGTATATCTGAAAAGTATTCCTGACATTTTTGTGGTTGAGTTTGGCCAATAATCATGCAGAAAAGGTTGTATAGTATACAATACACTGATTATATGTGCCTATTATCTAGTACAGGTAGCTAGATACATTACATGTATACATACTGATGAATAGACCAGGGGCTAAATCTAACACTAATACACCACCACACAAAATAGCTGTACAGTGCATTTGGTAATTAACATCAGTGCTTTGTTAACTTTACCCTCGAACAGTGCGGCAATCTGGATTGAGGATTATCTGAGCAAGAGACGTAACTTGTAGAGTGGAGTCCAGACCGTCTGTGTCATGGACTAGTACAGAGGCTCCTTCCTGTAATATATAAACACCATACTCAAATTAACCAGTTTTTAATGCAATTTTCTATTAAAATCTGCTTGTACATAATTTATAACACCATAAACACTGATAAAATATCCTCAATATGCAGACGATGAGTCACAATAACGTGACTGAAGTATGTTGACCAGACCACACACTAGAAGGTGAAGGGATGATGACGTTACGATCCGTCCTGAACCATTCTCTAGTCAATTGTCTTGCAATCAACGTGAGAATGGTCCAGGACGGAGCGAAATGTCGTCGTCCCTTCACCTTCTAGTGTGTGGTCTGGTCAACATACTTTAGCCACATTATTGTGACTCATCGCCTACATAGTAAAATAGTTACATATTTTGCCTATGAATGTTCTCCCCACTTAAGTAAAATCATGTCACTGCTTACAAGTTATTGATTAGATTAATTCCAATAAACTGTCGATTACAGGATACTTTCATCGCACAGAGAGTGATGTGTTAATAATTGCAACACATGAAGGGGTTAAGAGTGTAATTTCCATCGTTGCTCTCCAAGTGAGACTTCTTGAGGTTATCTTGAGATGATTTCGGGGCTTTAGTGTCCCCGCGGCCCGGTCCTTGACCAGGCCTTCACCACCAGGAAGCAGCCCGTGACAGCTGACTAACACCCAGGTACCTATTTTACTGCTAGGTAACAGGAGCATAGGGTGAAAGAAACTCTGCCCATTGTTTCTCGCCGGCGCCTGGGATCGAACCCGGGACCACAAGATCACAAGTCCAGCATGCTGTCCGTTCGGCCGACCGGCTCCCCGATTCACTCACTCCCGGACTCACTCACTCCCGGTCTCACTCACTCCCGGACTCACTCACTCTCGGACTCACTCACTCCCGGACTCACTCACTCCCGGACTCACTCACTCCCGGACTCACTCACTCCCGGACTCACTCACTCCCGGACTCACTCACTCCCGGACTCACTCACTCCCGGACTCACTCACTCCCGGACTCACTCACTCCCGGACTCACTCACTCCCGGACTCACTCACTCCCGGACTCACTCACTCCCGGACTCACTCACTCCCGGACTCACTCACTCCCGGACTCACTCACTCCCGGACTCACTCACTCCCGGACTCACTCACTCCCGGACTCACTCACTCCCGGACTCACTCACTCCCGGACTCACTCACTCCCAGACTCACTCACTCCCAGACTCACTCACTCCCAGACTCACTCACTCCCAGACTCACTCACTCCCGGACTCACTCACTCACTCACCTGGTCAAGACACTGAGCCACAAGGCACGCACAGTTCAATGTTTCCTTAATGTTATTCATCCAGTTGCTGCTCTCCAGACGACTCAACCACTTGTCCGTTCCTGAGTTTGTGTCATTTACACCTGTGAAACAGAGTAACACGTTTAAAACGGCCAATGTGGTATAACAACTGTGAAAGTGAAGGCTCACAATATACAGTACAGTAAAATGTAAGCATATACAAATCCGCAAGGGCCATGACGAGGATTTGAACCTGCGTTCGAGAGCATCCCAGATGCTGACATAATCGACTGAGCTACGACGTGGTCGTAGAACAAATCTTGTGGATTAGTTCATTTGATGCATCATGCAATTGTGATTTCTCTGTGTTATGCATATACAGTAGTCAAAAGAATAAAAATTCAAATGCATTTTAACGAGACAGTACTAATGTGATCAGTTGATTTCAAATCATTGACAATTAAGAAACAGAAGCAATAAAGTGAACCATACCCACTAAATACTAAAGTGAAGGTAATGATGTTTTGACTGATGGTGGACTCAAACATCACCACCACCACCACCTCTTTTCTAATATGTGCATTTATATTCGTAGGTTTCAGCCATGATATTGTGACATTCTTCAAAAATAATAGTGTAATGTATTCATATAATTAGCATTGTAATGTAAAACAGAAACAGGCCTATTCAATAAATTCAATACAAGTAGGCGATGAGTCACAATAACGTGGCTGAAGTATGTTGACCAGACCACACACTAGAAGATGAAGGGACGAAGACGTTTCGGTCCGGCCTGGACCATTCTCAAGTCATGTGTTGACAATGTTGGCAAATTGTATCAACACACAACTTGATAATGGTCCAGGTTGGACCGAAATGGCGTTGTTTCTCCGAGTTCTGATGTATGGATGTGACATCAGGTTAGAGCTCTATTAAACATATAGTTCAGTAATTTATTGAACAAACAACCACAGAAGGTGATTGTAGGGCTAATAAAATGCTAATCTAAATGCTAATACATAAATACACAGACTTACGAGGAAGTTGAACAACTGCGGACCTCTGATGTTTACACAGTTTATACAGTATTCTCCTTCAACTCCGTCCACATAAACCGTGCAATGAATAATAATACCGTAGATACTGTACTACAATAACATTACATTACCATCCATAAGTTTTGTTAACGACTCCAGTAAGACATGGTGACGATCAATAGGTTTGTGGACACGACGCCAGTTAGGGTAGTGAAGCTCGGGCTCATACCCCCCACCACGAAGCTGGAGAGAAATACAGTCAATTAAGACACTGGAGCATTAGAAAAAATAAAGCTAATACCACGGAAACAAAATGAACGCTACCGTAAGAAAATACATAATTTCATGAGAAAATAATGAACCGAAATAACATTATTTCATTATATAATTTGGCAAGTAAGCACTCTATAACATATATCACATACTGAAGAGATTACAAGGATGAACCCACCTGAGGAAGGAATTAGTTTAATATACATATATATATACAGTATATATGTGTGTATATCACGAAAATAAACACGTGATTAAAAATGTGACAGTGTCAGACCACGGAGGAAAATTGAAACAGGAATTTCCCTAAGTACTTTCGTATATTAATATACGAAAATATATAGACTCCTTCTGAAGATGTATTAATATATGAAAGTACTTAAGGAAATTCCTGTTTCAATTTTCCTCCGTGGTCTGACACTGTCATTCATTCATTCATATATATATATATATATATATATATATATATATATATATATATATATATATATCTATATATATCTATATATATCTATATATATCTATATATATCTATATATATCTATATATATATATATATATCTATATATATATATATATATCTATCTATCTATCTATCTATCTATCTATCTATCTATATATATATATATATATATATATATATATATATATATATATATATATATATATATATTAGTATATTTTGGTAGCAGTCTTTCCTGTAGACATATATTATTAAATATGACCGAAAAAGTAAGATTAATAATTCTAACACGAATTTTCTCAATCTTTCGTACATTACGCTTCACTGTTGGAGGTAAATCAAAAATTACTTCTCCAAAATTCATTTTTATTTCTAGTCTGACGCGACACGGGCGCGTTTCGTAAAACTTATTACATTTTCAAAGACTTCACAAATACACAACTGATTAGAACTTACGTCTCTCTGATATTATATCTACATTTGAGTGAGGTGGGAAGGATGATGTGGCATTAACACAAGACAGAACAGGGGATATTAATAGGGTATTAAAAGTATCAACACAAGACAGAACAGAAACAATGGGTATTGAATAGAAGTGTTTGTAGAAAGCCTATTGGTCCATATTTCTTGATGCTTCTATATTGGAGCGGAGTCTTGAGGTGGGTAGAATATAGTTGTGCAATAATTGGCTGTTGATTGCTGGTGTTGACTTCTTGATGTGTAGTGCCTCGCAAACGTCAAGCCGCCTGCTATCGCTGTATCTATCGATGATTTCTGTGTTGTTTACTAGGATTTCTCTGGCGATGGTTTGGTTATGGGAAGAGATTATATGTTCCTTAATGGAGCCCTGTTGCTTATGCATCGTTAAACGCCTAGAAAGAGATGTTGTTGTCTTGCCTATATACTGGGTTTTTTGGAGCTTACAGTCCCCAAGTGGGCATTTGAAGGCATAGACGACGTTAGTCTCTTTTAAAGCGTTCTGTTTTGTGTCTGGAGAGTTTCTCATGAGTAACGGCCAGAACTACTCATGAGAAACTCTCCAGACACAAAACAGAACGCTTTAAAAGAGACTAACGTCGTCTATGCCTTCAAATGCCCACTTGGGGACTGTAAGCTCCAAAAAACCCAGTATATAGGCAAGACAACAACATCTCTTTCTAGGCGTTTAACGATGCATAAGCAACAGGGCTCCATTAAGGAACATATAATCTCTTCCCATAACCAAACCATCGCCAGAGAAATCCTAGTAAACAACACAGAAATCATCGATAGATACAGCGATAGCAGGCGGCTTGACGTTTGCGAGGCACTACACATCAAGAAGTCAACACCAGCAATCAACAGCCAATTATTGCACAACTATATTCTACCCACCTCAAGACTCCGCTCCAATATAGAAGCATCAAGAAATATGGACCAATAGGCTTTCTACAAACACTTCTATTCAATACCCATTGTTTCTGTTCTGTCTTGTGTTGATACTTTTAATACCCTATTAATATCCCCTGTTCTGTCTTGTGTTAATGCCACATCATCCTTCCCACCTCACTCAAATGTAGATATAATATCAGAGAGACGTAAGTTCTAATCAGTTGTGTATTTGTGAAGTCTTTGAAAATGTAATAAGTTTTACGAAACGCGCCCGTGTCGCGTCAGACTAGAAATAAAAATGAATTTTGGAGAAGTAATTTTTGATTTACCTCCAACAGTGAAGCGTAATGTACGAAAGATTGAGAAAATTCGTGTTAGAATTATTAATCTTACTTTTTCGGTCATATTTAATAATATATATATATATATATATATATATATATATATATATATATATATATATATATATATATATATATATATATATATATATATATATATATATATTTTCATTTTCAATATATATATATATATATATATATATATATATATATATATATATATATATATATATATATATATATATATATATATATATACATATATATATATATATATATATATATATAAATATATATATTTATTATATATATATTAATCCTAATAAATAAGCAAATTCAGCATTGATACTAAGAACATATTACATAATTTATACAAATAATTTATGTACATCATATCAAGGTGCAACTAACACGCTGTAGGTAATGGCAAATATATATATGTATACTGTATATACATATATACTGGTGAATAAATATCTTATTATACATAGGTCAGTTATATGAGCTACTAGTGGTTGATACAGTATATTACAACATATGCAATTCTGTTAGATTTTTATCATCACTGTCTAGAGAATGCTTTAGAAATATGGGTTTTAAAGAGTGCTAAGAGCTTAACAAAGAACTTAAGAGCTAGTCACAGACTTAGTATTCTTGTACTTAAGGTGAATATTAAATTAGATCCCTAAGAAGTAAGAAATTCAAAAGTTCAAAGAAAAAGCATAGAGTACGATGAACAAATCACACACCACAAGATGAAGAAATGACAATGTTTCGGCAAGTCCTGAACAATTATCAAGTCGGACGTGACATACAACTTGGTTATGTTGACCAGACCACACACTAGAAGGTGAAGAGACGACGACGTTTCGGTCCGTCCCGGACCATTCCACAATTGACTTGAGAATGGTCCAGGACGGACCGAAACGTCATCGTCCCTTCACCTTCTAGTGTGTGGTCTGGTCAACATACTTTAGCCACGTTATTGTGACTCATCGCCTGCAACTTGGTTATGGTCCAGGATGAACCGAAATGTTGATGTTTCTTCATCTTGTGGTGTGTGGTTTGGTCATTATACCTTCAGCCACGTTATTGTGACTCATCATCAGCATACAGTATGCTCAAAAGCATGCAAGAGCTGCCTTAGATCAGGTCACAGGGTAAATATACCCTGCACCACTAAAGACACAAAGGAAATGAGGCATAATGCCACACAAACAAATAACAGTAACAGCAGCATAACAAAAGGAAAGTGCAGAATATGGGAAACTGTAGGCAAAAAAGTACAAATGATTTAGTATTAATAGAATGGCTGACTTGTATGCAAAAGCCATGTATGCTGGTCCTGCAGAGTTACAGTCTTTGCTGATAATAACCACACTTCCAGTTCTGAGGGAAGCATAAATCTGCAAAGCTAATGAAGAAATCAAATTCTGCTTGGCCTCCTGGGAACCAGAGCCAGAACCTGGCCCTGCCCTCGCAGAGGTGCGGGGAGTGAGTACAAATTCTCCACCTTGCCAGGATAGCATCCAGAAAGTTAGTGAAGCTTTACAGACAACTGCAAGGTTCAGAAAAGATGAAGCATCGAAACCAACTTGACAAATGATTCAAATGAAACTACTGTTTCATTGAAAACTAGCTCAATGTCCTTGGTACCGAATGATGATCATTCTCTCAGCCTCTTACTGCTGCCTGTTTGGTTGGTGAGACCTATGACAAAGACAAGAAAGGGGCAGAAAGATGCAAAATGAACACCAGGCAACTTCATAGTGTCACTGCAAAGACACACATGTAGGCACCAATAACCTAGCCATCCAATCACTGTATAAATGGTGATGGACTTACATAAGAAACTTCAGGTGTGTAGTGCAGAAGAGAAGGTTGAACCAGCGACACACGTTGCTGGGCTGATCTGCTGAAAGAGGTGAAGCCAATAAAAAATGCCAGGATTCAGACACCAGGACTGAGCCAGCCCCGAAAACGGGAAACCGGAGCCAGAGCGACGTAGACAACCAAGTACACACATCAGTATAGAACTGTTGTCTGGGGGGAAAGGGGGGGGGGGGGGAAGGGCAAACTAGGGGAAGGGCAAACTAGGGGAGGGGGGGGGGGACTAGTTCATGAAATTTTTGTTGTTTTCCTTGTTGAGAAGTTCTTTTGACCATTTTGAGGCTGCAGTTTCATTTTACCCATGCAGTAGTCTGTTTTGGTTCATGTATCTTTCAGGGGTGCTTCCCTGGTGGTTGCAAAGATGACGAGCTTTACATATAAAGTTTTCATAGGCCATCACTCCCTTTGCCTCTCTGAGGGGTGCCAGGTTCTGGCTCGTGGACCCTGGTAGGCAAAAACAAACTCCGCAACTGATGACACTCGAGTAGTACGACACTTAATCAGTATGACGGGGCTCCCCCCAGAAAGGTATCTTTTAGCGAACAGAGATGTAGACAGTTGGAATATTTAGAGAGAGAAGGTGATGGATGCCAAAACCATAAATAGTTTCAGTGTCATATGACAGAGATTATAGGGAGGACGGGACACCATGAATGTAGCTCTCATCCGGTAACTACACATACGTAATTACACTGGGTCTCACACATATATATAATATTTAAGTGATACATCATAAATTTGTATATAAATGATGTACACTGAATACAGGTGTATATTATTATATAAATTGTGAATACTATAAATGTGAGTAAATATTTACAGTCTTGTACCTACATTTGCATAATTTGTTTAACAAACCAAAAACACTGCAATGAAGCTTACAAAACTAGTATGCAAATAAGCTAACAATAAGTACAAAATGCAACAAGAAATATAGATTCAAAATAAAAGGAATTGAATAAATATATATATGTGTGTATATCACGAAAATAAACATGTGATTAAAAATGTGACAGTGTCAGACCACGGAGGAAAATTGAAACAGGAATTTCCTTAAGTACTTTCGTATATTAATACATCTTCAGAAGGAGTGAAGATGTATTAATATACGAAAGTACTTAAGGAAACTCCTGTTTCAATTTTCCTCCGTGGTCTGACACTGTCAAATATATACATGTATAAACCACTTACCAAATAAAGCAATATAAAATGGGCTTAAATCCACCGACAGCACCATACGTGTTTCATCATAACATTGTTGCATATATTACAGCCACATTAATATATATTAGCTTATGAACAGACAAGATAACAAGGGATGACTTCACTACAACAGTCTGGTAGAAGGGAAACACAGCCACTAATTTCATGAAACAATATACACTCTACATTAAAATTTGACAATACAAAATCTATACAACAACAAGAGCTTTAATAAAAGATGACAAAAACACAATTTCTGGTTAGTGATAATATATTAACATTTGACCTCTAAATTTGTACAGAATATTGTGTGGGTGAGACAATGTTTTCGGCCGGCCAACTGTATGTTGAGGCCGACATTGTAGTCAAGTTGTCAGGGACGGTACTTGCAACTCTACATCTACAGTAGGTAATTAATCTGAATTATATTTTAAAAACTTAGGAACCTATATTTTGATTTAGGAATACTGTAACAAAAAGGTAGAGTGTATACTACATGAGAGAGATGATGCATGCGGACACAAGGACACCATATATTTACTATAACAGTTTCCTATACCTGAACTTTTGCTGACTGCGCAAGGTTCTGTGTATAAAAGAATGCATTGTGAAAGCAACATGTGCAAATCTAGAATTATTATCACATCTACAAAGTATACCATGTGCAATTCTCAGCTATAAATCAGACTTACATCCTATGTGAAGCCACTATGATAATATTGAGAGAAAAAAACATGCCTTAACCCCTGCACTGCGCACCTGGTTTCGGCAAAAACTTCTTGGGGCAATTGTCAAGGACATATTCTTGTTGTTTTTATAAATATTCAGGTAAATTTAATGTCAAAATGTTTACAAACTCGACTATTTTCATTTAAAAGCACAGAGTAATGAAAACATTAAAAAACATTAAAATACTGTATAGCCTAATTAAAAAAAAAAATAGCACAACTCTCAGAGCGCCTAAAGGCGCTTTGCGCAGTGCAGGGGTTAAATAAAGCAGATCTATATACTTTATTACTGTATGCAATAAATCAGTGTGCATTTTTCTAAACATTTGGTTTATCCTGCATTTGGTAAACAAGGCGCAGTAAAACTATCTTTGTGAGCTTCCTTAGGCAAGGTCCTGCTGTGCCCTGACGTTCATCGTTATCACAGCAAGGATCTCTCCGGCCATCACTCCTGGGTCATACTGGTGCATGGGAGACACTGGACAATACTCATTTTATCCCATTATGACTTCCAGCCTCCAGAAGGCTATCTTGACAGGTTATCTTGAGATGATTTCGGGGCTTTAGTGTCCCCGCGGCCCGGTCCTCGACCAGGCCTCCACCCCCAGGAAGCAGCCCATGACAGCTGACTAACACCCAGGTACCTATTTTACTGCTAGGTAACAGGGGAATAGGGTGAAAGAAACTCTGCCCATTGTTTCTCGCCGGCGCCCGGGATCGAACCCGGGACCACAGGATCACAAGTCCAGTGTGCTGTCCGCTCGGTCGACCGGCTCACTCTATATAAACTCAAACCCATTCAAAGTGCTCCTTGGCCTATTTACCTATACGATGATATAAATCGGAGTTGCCTTGCATGGGCCGATAGACCTTTTCCAGACCCCTTAGTTCTTGCATAATAAAATACAATAAACTAAAATTAGAGAAAATACGACGACCGACATTAGATTCACAAACTCCTGATTTGTTTAGCAATTTTTCTGGCGAGAGCCCCCCCTTGTAGCTCTCTGAAGCTACTATCACTGATAGTGTACCATCAACTGGGTTGCATCAGCCACAGTTCTATATGGCCTATTGGGGACCAAGAGCCAGAACCCAACTCCCTCTTAAAGAGGTGCAGGGAGCACTGGCATTTATATATTTATGCCACTACCAGGGAAGACACCCAGAAAGTCTGTGAGACAAAACAAATTACAGCTGGCTATAAAAGAGACCGTAGCCTCAAAGTACCAGACGAACTCCCCAACAATGTAAACAAGTGATCAAAACACTTCAAAACAAGTACCAGCTCAATTGTCCAACCTCTTCCGCTTATCTGGGGGGCCAGAGGGAGGTAGCTTGTGGTCAGCCACTGACACAGCCCTCAGTTCTATGCTGATGTGTGTAGTGTAATTACCTAAGTGTAGTTACAGGATGAGAGCTAAGCTCGTGGTGTCCAATCTTCCCAGCACTCTTTGTCATATAACGCTTTGAAACTACTGACGGTGGTTGTCGTCCCTTCACATTCTAGTGTGTGGTCTGGTCATCATATGATGCTAGCTGCCAAGAAAACAGAACTTAGAAGATAAAGAGCTGTACCCTAAGACGGGGATGCAGCAGAGATCAAGATGACGATGGCAATAGTAAATGATATTATGAAGAGTTGGAATATCTTTTAAGGTAAGAAAGATATTAAGCAAACCTAAAGTGCAGTGTGCTGATGAAGTGTATGGTGTATGATGGAGTGTATGGGTGTATGACAGTGTGTATGGGTGTGGTACAAGTTGATTCAGAATAACAAAAATACCAGTAGTAGGCTGGTTGCTCACGGAACACACAAGATTTCATGCCAAAATAACCGTTACCAATAAGAGTATTTACTCAAAGCAGCAGCATAGTATATCTTGAGATGATTTCGGGGCTTTTAGTGTCCCCGCGGCCCGGTCCTCGACCAGGCCTCCACCCCCAGGAAGCAGCCCGTGACAGCTGACTAACACCCAGGTACCTATTTTACTGCTAGATAACAGGGGCATAGGGTGAAAGAAACCCTGCCCATTGTTTCTCGCCGGCGCCTGGGATCGAACCCAGGACCACAGGATCACAAGTCCAGCGTGCTGTCCGCTCGGCCGACCGGCTCCCAATCGGCTTGTATCTTCTGTTTTTTATCCTACACTGTACTTATTGAGCTTGAAGCCGCTTGTATGCACTACGTTTAACCTTTTAAAGAAGTGGTCTGGATTTGTATTCTCCAACTTATTCAGTATTTTCAAGGTTTATTTATTTATTTTATTTATTGATTTATATACAAGAAGGTACATTGGGTTTGTGAGAATACATAGCATAGTATTTACAATCTTGTAAAGCCACTAGTACGCGCAGCGTTTCGGGCAGGTTATGATGAGATCTTTGAAATCTTTATCTCACTGATTTAGAGAAATTTATTCAATTACTGTAATTTCAATATTATGCTCCCACGGTAATGTTTTCATGAGCAAACAATCTTCTAAATTATGACTAATCTAGTGCTCATTCTAAATTAAAACAGCAATTTTTTATGCATTAAACTGACTAAATCAAACTAATATTTAATGAAATTTACTTCAAGTTACCTAGTAGCATGCCAGCGTTAAACCAAAAGACTGGGAACTGTCTCAAGCAGCAAACTTGGCTTGTGTGTAAATGAAGACCATTCTCTTAACGATGTGCAGTAACCACTTTATGAGATAACTTACCTTAGCTGACTGCGCTAAATTCTGAGTGCGGGTGTCAATAATGTAGCCCCGTTTTTCACGCGCAAGCACACTATTTAATAGCCGTTCATCCTCTTTACACCGCTTGCCATTGGCTGTGATAAGAGGTTGTCCACTTCTAAGAAGAACCGCCTGTAAAATATTACTATTTTAATCAAATGTTATGATTATATTACTAGAAAGTACACAAATATATGAAACACACCACAGGTTGCAAATATTTACATTAAAACAGTGCATTGATTGCATTTTTTTTTCATTGTTTGAATCTATGTCCTCTTGTTCTTGAAGATGCATTTTTCAATAATTATTCTGTTAATTTTGTTGCTGTCGATATCTGTTCCTATTTTGTACATAGTGATCATATTGCCTCTTTTTTTTTTTCCCTTCTATCTTCTGGCTTTGGTATATTTAATGCCTCTAACTTCTCCTCGAAACTCATGTTTTTCAGTTCCAGGAGCCATTTATTTGTGTCTTTGCATCTTCTCCAGTTTACTTATGTACAAGAAGGTACACTGTGTTTGTGAGAATTCATAACATCGGTGTTCTTACATTCTTGTAAAGCCACTAATATGCATAGCATTTTGGCCAGAACCTGAATGTGTTAATGATGTGCTTCTGGAAACATGGGTATATCTTGAGGTTATCTTGAGATGATTTCAGGGCTTTTTAGTGTCCCCGCGGCCCGGTCCTCGACCAGGCCTCCACCCCCAGGAAGCAGCCCGTGACAGCTGACTAACACCCAGGTACCTATTTTACTGCTAGGTAACAGGGGCATAGGGTGAAAGAAACTCTGCCCATTGTTTCTCGCCGGCGCCCGGGATCAAACCCGGGACCACAGGATCACAAGTCCAGTGTGCTGTCCGCTCGGCCGACCGGCTCCCTAATGATGTGCTTCTGGAAGTATGGGTACCATACAACCACTGCATATTCCAACTTTGGTCTCACAAAATTTATGAGCAATTTCATGATAAACAAAACTGGCTAGCTATCATGGAAATTTCTGGAAGTGGAATAGTATATTAAGTGAAGCATGAAAATTCAATAAATCTCTTACCGAGCCTTCATGACGATATGATAGGACAGGAAACCGACCAGCTTGACGGAAGTTAGCAATAGCAATAAGATCGCTATCTTCAATATTTTTGGGGACCACAACGGCACTCGGATATGTTGGGCATACCTGCAAAACAAAAGGTTGTAGAAAAATCATAGTGTGTAATATGAATATTTAATAAAGAACTCTTATCATGTCTTTCAAATACTGTACAGTATATTACTAATACATCATTACAGTACTCTTAAGAAATAATATGAATTAACACACAGAAATCACAATAGCGTGATGCATCAAATGAACAAATCCACAAGGGCCGTGACGAGGGTTTGAACATATATCCGAGAAGATCACGTCAATTAAGGCCCATCTGGGATCCTCTCGAAAGTAGGTTCGAATCCTCATCACGGTCCTTGTGGATTTGTTCATTTAATATAAATTAAATTACACATCACCAAAATTTATGACCTCATTAGTTTTTTGTTGCTGTATAGTCTATCATATAACTCATCCCATTTGATTAAGAATACAGCACTTTAATGTACACAGCTGAAATTTGTTAACCCAGTATTAACATTCAACATTTCCATTTAAAAAATAAACTGATATTCATCTTGTTACAAGGGATATTACTTACTATATTCTTTTAATCTTACATGTACATATTTCAAAATACAATACTTCATCTCAAGTATCTCTCAAAACTACAATAAAAGATAAAAGATTTCAATTTTTTCCGAGCCAAAGTGTTTACAAACAGTATAAGTGTATGTTACTCATATTTCCTATCAGACAATAACAAATACCTTGTAGTCCTTATTAACATATGATATTCTCCAGTCATCGCCTGGCTGAACCAGACGGGAAAATTCCGACTCCGGCAAAAATGTCGTCCAGCCATCCTCTAGAGCTGTGTACATGGCCCGATAAAAGAATGGATACTGCAGCAATGGCTCCTCTGCAAAATAAGAATCAAATTAATATTGATGATGTAATTACCTACCTAAGTGTAATTACCTAAGTGTAGTTACAGGATGAGAGCTACGCTCGTGGTGTCCCGTCTTCCCAGTACTCTGTCATATAACGCTTTGATACTACTGACGGTCTTGGCCTCCACCACCTTCTCATCTAACTTGTGCAGTACTGTACAGGCATCCCACAACATATGCTAACTCAGAATTGTATACAGAACTGTGCTATAATGTTTTTAATTTCATTAGAAGTACAACATTAATTTCAAGTATTCTGTTAAATTCACATTTACCGAACTTAGAGAATGTATATAGATCCTTGCTGCATTGGTGCAGTGTCAACAGTCCTAACTTTGCATGGTCCCACTGCCGTAACACCAGTAAGAATCTTGCCTGATGGAGCAACCATGTATGATAGCTCACAAATAGGATTACTAATGACAATATAACACACAATGAACTATAATGTCATTTTAGGGAGATATAGCTACACTCACAGATCATATATATATGTACATATATGTATGAGTGTGTGTACATGTATATATAACATTAATAATTTTGTAACTAGCGTCAAAAATTGTTATTTGCTTAGCTAAACGAACTAGAGGGTTCAGTTCCTGAACCGATTATGTGCCTCTGTAATCCTTTACACCACCGCCCACGGGATGGGTATGGGGTGCATAATAAAGAAAGAAATTGAATTGAATTGTACACAAAAATGTTTTTGAACATGTCCACTATGTTATCACTGCATCTTATGTGTTTCTTGGGGCAAAGCCTTTCTTATGGAAATCAATATACAAGCCAGTTAAAGAAATACTTTAAGAACAGATGATCTGATTAATTGGTTATCAAATTCATAATAAATACAGGCAAAGAATGTTTTAAAAATATGATGAAATGCATTACCACAGAGTGGCATCAGTCCCTGGGTGAGTCCAAGATGAGTTGTTTTGTTACTCTGGACATAGCCGGTCCGGAGGGAGCCGGTCGGCCGAGCGAGGGAGCCGGTTGGCCGAGCGGACAGCACGCGGGACTTGTGATCCTGTGGTCCCGGGTTCGATCCCAGGCGCCGGCGAGAAACATTGGGCAGAGTTTCTTTCACCCTATGCCCCTGTTACCTAGCAGTAAATAGGTACCTGGGTGTTAGTCAGCTGTCACGGGCTGCTTCCTGGGGGTGGAGGCCTGGTCGAGGACCGGGCCGCGGGGACACTAAAAAAAAAAGCCCCGAAATCATCTCAAGATAACCTCAAGATAGCAAGTGCCTTTGATTGGGTCTGGCACTCTGGATTAGTAGTAAAGCTTCAAGCACTAGGCATGCCGCGGGGCCGCTAGGACACTAAGCCCTGGAAGCACCTCAAGGTAAGGTATGCCATGCTCCATCTTAAGACCTAATAAAGAACTACCTTCAAGTCAAAATCTAAAAGTAGTCCTCAATGGAGCAGAATCCGAAAGCTATTTGGTGCCAGTGTATCGCAGAGTAGGGTTTAGAAATAAAATTGACATATTGGGCATGAAGTTTGACGCTCCTATGACAATAAAGAGCAAAGTGCTTAACCTAACCCAAAAGGCAGCCAGGAAACTTACAGCCCTACAGCACATCTCGCACCTTCTTGACAGCAGGGGCTGCAAAACCTTTTAAGAAGCACAAGTTTGTGCTCATCTTGAGTATGCACCCACCTCCTAGACTGCCTGCTTTCCATCATTCATCAAAATTTTGGACAAAGTGGAGAACTGTATAAGAAGGCTCATCTGAAGTCATGACCAAGTGGGAATGGTCTGAACATCAAAGCCTCCAACATCGTCGTGATGTTGGTGGACTTACTGTTATGTACACGGCCAACATTCGAAAAGTTGCGCACCTGGCTCAACTTCGTGGACCACCAGTAGTTGGTACCTGCGACACAAAGATCTTAGCCATCAACAGTCTCATGCTGGAACTGCCTTTCTCAAGAACATCACTCAATCAGCAATCATTCATTCCTAGGCCGACACACATCTGGAACTTGTTCGCTCAACAGGTCAACTGATCTCATGAAGTTGGCTACTGACTCACCCTGTTCCTTATATGACTGTTACTTAAGATTTAAATGTAGTTCATTCATTATGATTCAAAAAAGAAAATAATCTCATGAATTAAATGAGTCTCTAGGGGGCAGGCTTCAGATGAGTTGAGGAAGGATAACGGCTCTTCCTTGTAGTTTCACTAAGTACCTCAATTCGGGGAGAGGGGGATTATTGAGGAAGGGGGGGCTATGGGGGGGAGGGGGATTATGAGAGAGGGGGGATAATGAGAGGGAAGGGGTATTGGGAGAGGGAAGGGGTATTGGGAGAGGGAAGGGGTAGAGGGATAGGGAAGGGGTAGAGGGAGTGGGTGTGAAGAGGGGAGAAGAGAAGGATGAGAGGTGGGTGGGTAGGGGAAGAGATGGAGTGGAGAGTTTGGAGTTTGGGAGAGAGGTGGGAGATAGGGAAGGGGAGAGAAGGGGAGCAAGACCCGGGCCCAACCAGATACCCCACCTAGTCTACTATATATACAGTATATGAATTAAACTACAAATTATCACTCTCAATTTAAAATGGTATTAAAGCCACATACATACCCACACGTGTAAGATCTTCTAGTGTGTCTGCTACTTTAGCAAACTGATCAGCACCTATAACATCCAGTTGTAAAATCCGCAGATCTTTACACTTCAGCCACAATGTTCCACCCGTCATTCCTTGCTGTCTTCTCTCTACTGCATCAATGTTGCTATGCAGTAGCTGTAATGAATATAAAATACATATCAATATTACTATCAACCACAAGCATCTTTCTCGTAAGAAGTGAACAAGGAAATAGTCTTTCTACACCCACTCGGACACGTGCAGAGACCACTACCCTCGACACCCTTGGCAAGAGCTAATTATCCAGACGCCCCCCACTGGAAACTCAGACCACACAAGCAAGCTTGAGATATATAGAACAAAAAGGAAAAAATACAGGAGCTTCTGAAATGTTAATGACTTAGATGGAAGAATGTTAACTGGTGAAGAATTAATTAGAAATACTGTTTAGTGGCCAACCCACTTACCATTCAGTCTGTCACACGTGTACTTGACTCCAAGAAGCTCTACCTAGTTTTCTGATTAACAGCTGAGAGTCAGCATGATTTAGAATGTTCTTTATGTACTCCCCTAGTTGTGCTTGTGGGGTTGAGCTTCGGCTCTTTGGTCCCACCTCTCAACTGTCAATCAACTGGTGTACAAATTCCTGAGCCTACTGGGCCTCTTTCATATCTACATTTGAAACTGTGTATGGAGTCAGCCTCCACCACATCATTGCCTAATGCATTCCATTTGTTAACTACCCTGACACTGAAAAAATTCTTTCTAATGTGTGTGTGACTCATTTGAGTAGGCTTTCACCTATGTCACCTTGTTCGTGTTCTGCCCCATGCTAAATAATTTGTCATTATCCACCCTGTCAATTACTCTGCAAATTGTGTAGGGTGCACCACTGAAGATCTTCCTTCCAATGCAATTTTATTTTGCAGAAAATATGCAGCACCCTGCCAACATGACATCCAAAAATACAGGTACAGTTCAATTTGACGAACCTTTGAGTACACTGCACACGTTTTTATCTGAAATTCCACACCGAGCTTGCCAAACTATAGTGCAGCAAAATGAGGTACAGTATACATATCTGCAAAAGATGCGGGCCAAAATCCACTGACCTATTATGTTGAAAATTTCAAACTCCTCTGAAAAAATATTTCTAAAACAGGTAAAAATATAAAAAAAATTATCAGACAAAATCTATAACCAAAAATATATATTATGATGTATAGTACAGTATAGTACATTGTACTTACAAAACATATACATTTTTGTTTTCACTGCACTGGCTTAAGTTTTATCTTCATGTCGGGTAGATGAGTCCAGGGCACATGTACATAAGACACAACATACCTGCTTGAGGGTAGATGAGTCCAGGGCACATGTACATAAGACACAACATACCTGCTTGATGGAATTCTGGGAGTTCTTCTACTGCCCAAGGCCGGCCCGAGGCCAGGCTTGACTTGTGAGAGTTTGGTCCACCAGGCTGTTGCTTGGAGCGGCCCGCAGGCCCACATACCCACCACAGCCCGGCCCGAGGCCAGGCTTGACTTGTGAGAGTTTGGTCCACCAGGCTGTTGCTTGGAGCGGCCCGCAGGCCCACATACCCACCACAGCCCGGCCCGAGGCCAGGCTTGACTTGTGAGAGTTTGGTCCACCAGGCTGTTGCTTGGAGCGGCCCGCAGGCCCACATACCCACCACAGCCCAGTTGGTCCAGCACTCCTTGGAGGAATAAATCTAGTTTCCTCTTGAAAATGTCCTCGGAAGGATCTTCTCGGAGAAATTTTATTTTGTCTAATAATAAAATGGCTCTCCTAAATTAAAATTTTAAATGGATAAATTAATTGCTAATGCCGATTTTGTAACTAGCGTCAAAAGATTGTTATTTGCTTAGCTAAACGAACTAGAGGGTTCAGTTCCTGAACCGATTATGTGCCTCTGTAATCCTTTACACCACCGCCCACGGGATGGGTATGGGGTGCATAATAAAGAAAGAAATAATAATAAATAATGCCAAAGTATATAACCAACCCATAATTCTTCCGATTCCTCTCCACGTGCTGATGCAATGAGATGATGTCCAGTAATGCAGAGCGTGCCATCAAGTACGGAATGATGAGGTCTGTGTAGCATCACACGGTCGCACCGTGATATACGGATAAGTTCAGCAAATTCCATCTTTCCTAAAATTATAAAATAACAAATTTAAAAATTAATATTATTTCACTAAACATATAAATTAATCTAAACCCAAATATAATTTGGGTTTAGATTAATCAAAACCACATGTGTAAAATTGAGAATACTAAATGCGTTTTTGGCTCAATTCGCTTTCATCTGAGCAAAATAGAATCTATTTCGGTCTATCATTCTATTTTGCTCTGGTGAAGGTGAATCGAGCCGAAAATGCGTTTAGCATTCTCTATTTTTCACATGTGGGTTTTCCGCATACTTAGATCAGTGTTTTTGTGATCATTGTTGCTTATATTATGATATACAGTATAGCTAATGATAATTCTTTTAATCTGAGCTTAATGTTTCTTACACACAGAAACCGCAATAGCGTGATGCATCAAATGAACAAATCCACAAGGGCCGTGACGAGGGTTCGAACCTACGTATGAGAGATTCCCAGACGTTGTATATATTTATCTTTAAACAAGTTGAGCATGTATGTAGGGAAAATATTAATCAAAGATAACCATCTCAAGATAATCTCAAGAAAGTGCTGTCATACAACAATTACGTGCCTCCTAAGAGACATAACTCTTTAATGGCTTTGAAGCAAGGTGTAGTGGATACAGTGTGTACCTGCCACTTTGTTGGCCAGGGTTCGAGTCCCCTGGTGGGTTGAGTGTCTATAAAGTTATAAACTTCAGCTTTAGGCAAGGCGTATTAGGCAAGTCTGTTCATAGATAGATAGATATATATATATATATGTGTGAACAAGCCTGAATGGTCCCCAGGACTATATGCAACTGAAAACTATATATAGTATATATATATATATATATATATATATATATATATATATATATATATATATATATATATATATATATATATATATATATATATATATATATATATATATATATATATATATATATATATATATATATATATATATATATATATATATATATATATATATATATATATATATATATATATAATATATGTGTGTATTATATAATATAATATATATATATATACATATTATATAAATAAATAAATATATTCACACAAGTGGGCGTATTGACCTGGTTCGATAAATACTTCATTCATTACATATCGGAATTCCCAATCCACAAACTAATTACAAGATACATTACTCCCTAACAACCCACTTAACCATATAAACATCTATATACATCCTAAAGTAAACAAATCGCCATATAAATAATTACAAGACTTGTAAATGAGAAGAGGACTTGAACTTGACTGATCAATTCCAGTTACAACATGAATATGGTAATTATTATTACGGGGAGAGATGGGCGCCTTCTTGGTGCCATGTTTATCAACCTAGCATGATAGATAGTGGTTGATAAAGGAGATATAAGGCGGTAAATAAGGCAAGAAGAGGGGACACAGCTGACCTAACCTCGCCCACGTAGAGAACAGCTGATTATTGACGATCACAACATACCGTATATATAATTATTTTGACTAAGTTTTATAGCTTAGTTTAGCTTGTTTTATGACTTGTTTTATTATAAAAATAAATTAATATGTTACAAATTGCATAACATATTGATTACAAGCATTATGTGGATTATTATATACATGTCATGTCTATTTCAATAATATTTATTAGTGCAAGGTTCTGGTACTGATATTAAGTTAGATAATTATATTTATCGGCTTTTTAAGACAAAAATATAAATGTTTGTATTAAGTTTTGTTATAAATATTAGCTTTATGACCCGGGTTTAGAATCTTGTGATGTGGACTTAAGTATTTGCTGCTGGGTCAAATATATCTGAACTACGCTCTAAAGTATTTATGTTTTGTCTTAGTATATATAGAAAAGTTATATTACTGAAGCATGAATTTTTAAGTAATTTATCTTCAATTTACGTTCCTTGTCATTTGGTTTACTAAAATAAATATGCATATAACTTTTAAAATCTGCTGAATAAGAGAGTGAAAATTAGATTCAGAATACAAATAATTTGATTTTAATTAAATATATTAAACCAGTCTAGTGAAATAGTGCAAAAAAATGATTTTAGAATCTTTTCAAAAAAAGATTCAAAAATAAAAAACTATTAAAATCTGCTGAATAAGACAGTAAAAAATCACATATAGCCTATAAATAATTCCATTTCAATTAAATATATTAAAACAGTCTAGTAAAATAGTGTAAAAAAACGATTTAGAATGATTTAGAGACTGAAAGAAAATATTTTATGCTTGGACGAGTGAGTGAAAATGATAATAAAAATCACATATAGAATATAAATAATTATATTTTAATTAAATACATTAAAACAGTCTAGTAAAATAGCGTAAAAAAAACGATTTAGAATGATTTAGAGACCGAAGGAAAATATTTTAGACTTGGACGAATGAGTGAAAACGGTGCTAAAAATCACATATAGACCATAAATAATTTCATTCCAATTAAATATATCAAAACAATCTAGTAAAATAGTGTAAAAAACGGTTTAGAATGATTTAGAGACTGAATGAAAATATATTAGGCTTGGGGAGTGAGTGAAAATGGTGAACTGAGGTGATGGCAACAGTGAGTAAGTTGTGAGTCACAGGAGCAAGTTGTCTTGAAGAGTGTCTTGTCTCCCTCCTCAAGTTGTCGGCCTCACCATGAGTAACACACCCGGTGAGTAACCTCTTCCTCCTTCCTTAGAGCCGTAGGTGACGGTCTTAGGTCGCCTGAGACGGGTTTAACAGCTGTAAATGTGTGTGTCGACGGAGCTGTCACCTTTTGTTTGGGTTCAGGTGACTGGCCCCGTCTGTTATTTACCTGTTGTCTGTCTTGTCTGTCTGCTGTCTGTCTGGTCTGTCTGCTGTCTTATATAGTCTGCTGCTGGTGATGGTGGAGGAGGAAGCAGACTTGTGGTGGTGCCATATGTGTGGGTGGGTGGAGTTAGAGGGGCAGGTCTGGCCGGGTTGACTTTGGGGGTTTACTGCTGGTGAGGGTTTACTGGTGGGGAGGGGGGGGGGGGGGAGGTTTACTCCTGCAGGAGGGATTTACTAGTGCAGGGGTTTACTCCTGCAGAGGGAGGGGGGTTTACTCCTGCAGAGGGAGGGGGGTTTACTCCTGCAGAGGGAGGGGGGTTTACTCCTGCAGAGGGAGGGAGGGGGGGTTTACTCCTGCAGAGGGAGGGGGGGGGGTTTTACTCCTGCAGAGGGAGGGGGGTTTACTCCTGCAGAGGGAGGGGGGTTTACTCCTGCAGAAGGGGGTTTACTCCTGCAAATCAGTGAAGGAATGGTGACCCTAGGTACAAACCCAAGAACGTGGGTTTGTATATTAAAGTAAAGCAATTATAAAGTCTCTGACGAGCTTCATTGACAAACTCTGACAATCCTCCTCGGCCAAGATACGAACCCATGACAAAGCGCTCGCGGAATGCCAGGCGGGTGTCGTACCACTACACCACGGAGACTGTACTAATGATAAATCGGCCAGATTTGTACCAATATTCAGTTGGATATTACTGAAGTAAGATTTTAAGCCGCCCTCCAGGATGAGCAATCTGTTTACTAGCATTTAAGCATGTGGTGGAAGTAGAAATGACCAGTTAAAGGGAAAAAATTGGAGAATAGAAGGCTGGCATACAGAACGGAGAATTTATATCGGAAGAATGGCACACAGAACTTTGAGAGAAGACCAAAAAAGATGTGGCCTTTCTTGCCCCAAAAATGTTAGGAAAATTTACACATTCCTGTCCAAAGGTTGGATCAACCCATGGTTTAGTAAAGGGCTTTAGGAGTACAAATGTACTGTACATAATTATGAGGGCATGGAGAAAAAAAAAATAGGGGTACCAGAGGGCCAGGAATGAATACCTTGGTGATTAGAGTAGCACTATCTTGGGTTGATTCTTAGGGTCAAGGTCTCCATGGCCCGGTCTCTGACCAGGCCTCCTGGTTGATGGTCTGGTCAATCAGGCTGTTGGACGTGGCTGCTCGCAGCCTGACGTATGAATCGCAGCTTGATAAGCAGGAGGAAAACAATAGTAAAGGAAGTTATATATTGGGATAGGTACATGTACAGAAATTGACAGAAAATTGGGAAACTCTGGGAATTCAGAGAAGTGCTCACAGTAGAGCAAGGAAAAGTGCCAAAGCTGAGTGGGATGGTGTCAGACGAAGCAGTACTGGAAGACCGATAGATTACCAGAGATTAAGAAAAAAGCTGTACTGTGCCTAATGGAATCGGACACTGATTTTCCATGGCTACAGAGAGGTAACATAAGTGCTATGCAGTCACTTTGTGATTTATAACAAATGGGTGGAAGTAAATGAACCACCTATAAACTGGAAGATGGCCAGTATACAGAGAGGCAGACATGGGAGTTTTAAATTTGACCATTTGCTTTTGCATACTGTGCAAGGGGATGGTCATAAGAAGCTGGTAGAACAACTAGAGATCATCATTTATAATGCAACACCACCGTAGGATTAGGTACATTATCTAACAGTGCACAGTTACAAACCCATTAAGATTTCAACTTAGATTCAACAGAGCAGAAGAAGTTGTTAAACATAAACACATGGCAAAATCTTACTGAAGTGACCATACGAGTCATAAATACTCATACTCCGCCCAAGTAAAACAGGAACAAGCAACACTTGGTGGGCCAGCCAGAGGCTTAGGGCCCGCGCAGGAATATCCCTGCAAAAAAAAAAAAAAAAAAAAAAAAAGGTACGGCAAATATTTCCTCGCAATCCTTGATAGGATTCTATGACTAAACAAATGCAATCGGACACAACAGAAGGGGCGGGCAAACATTTTTAGATTGTCCTGAAGTCTTCAATGCAGTATCCTACATGTGGCTAGTAAACATGTTTGAGAAACAGGCATCAGTGACAGGATGCATATCTTAGATAAGAGTTCCTCGCAGTAGAAGCTGGTGTAACGAGGGAGAATTGCACGACAATGTTATGAAGTGTCTTGGAGATCAGTGTAAGGTCTGTCCTATCTTATTGAGGTTATCTTGAGATGATTTTGGGGCGTTTTAGTGTCTCCGCGGCCTGGTCCTCGACCAGGCCTCCACCCCCAGGAAGCAGCCCGTGACAGCTGACTAACATCCAGGTACCTATTTTACTGCTAGGTAACAGGGGCATAGGGTGAAAGAAACTCTGCCCATTGTCCTATCCTAGAGCTCTGTAAATGTCCTTCCAGAAGGGATAACTTCCTCCCATTGTTTGCTGCAGACAAGTAGATTGTGAAGGTTAGATGGTGGAAGACTGCAATAAACTACCGGATGGTCTGGTCAAACTGAAACAATGTCCCAGAGAGTAAATAACCCCCTTCCCACTCGAGAAAATTAACGTGAAAGTAAATATTGGTCTGTCATGGACTATTATAAAGTCAGTTTTCATTTATCTACTTGCACCGTGCCACCTCCTACTATGCCACTTCTCATGCTTTATAATGACTTCTTCAGCACCCTGCCTAAGGTTGAGATGATTGATTTTTGTCTAGGATTGACTAAAATGTGTCGTCTTCATGTTCAATTTAGGTTGTGGTTATTTTTTGCCATTCACCACACATCATTAATGTTACAGTACTACTAGTTTTGACTAGCAAGTTGAAAGTAATGACGCCGGTGGGTTGGACAAAAACAACCAAGCCACTTGCCAGGTGGAAGAGAAAATAGTTCTGGAATCAGACTTATAGGGGGTTAATACTGCAAATTACCTGATGGGAAAGTATATGGAAGTGGCTATTTGAATTGCTATTTTTTTTAATAGCTACCCGTTGTTGGAGGACAGGAAGTGTGTACTTAAGCTAATTAAGGGTTTCCTAGGACGACTACTGGCCTTCTCACAGATGCAACCCACGACAATGGCATAACTCTGTTACATGAATACTGCCAGGTTATTAGAGGCATAAAGTGAAAGAAAACTTGCCCAATTGTCTGCCCTTCTGTGGGAATCTAATAAAGTACTTTGGTTGAGAATGAACAAAGTAGTCCACTGTGCTAATTGTGCATATGGTTTGCTGGAATAGTGTTAACTTCTATACTTACCAGTCTAGAGGCAAGGACTTCTGATAGGATGTCAAAATGGGTGCCCCTAAGAACCCATGACTAATGGATCCTGGACGTGGTATACCCTTGTCCAACTTTTGTCTACTGTAGCCTCAACGATAGTGGCTCTAATATATTTAGATTTGTGCAGATTTGCTGGATTCAAATGGGGAGGAGGGGGTGGGGGAGTTTTTGGACCACCTATCCCTAAGTTTTTTCACAAAACCCATTCTCTTCCTACTCTGTTCATGATAAATATTTTATTTTTTATATATAAAAGTTCTTGTATTCTTGTAAAGCCACTAGCACGCGCACATAACAT